TTCCCGAGGTTGTCAATACAGTTTGGCATCTCAGGGAGGTCTTCCTCCGGGGACTCCACTTTGAAGTTCCCGAGGTCGTCCCATCGTGGGAGTCTTGACCCTCTCGGACAGTGCGGGGGCGCGCCATCTGCAAGAAGCCGGCGGCCCATCAGCGCGCATGCCGGAAATAGCATGTTCTGTAGGAGGTGGAGGAAGAGGATGAGGGGATAAAGAAGAAGGAGGAGGAGGAGAAGGAGGAGGAATTAGAAGAAGAGGGGGAGAGAGGAGTAAGAGGATGAGCATGAAGCGAGAGAAAGAGGAGGAGGAAAAGGAGGAGGAGGAGGAGAAAGAGGAAGAGGATGCCTTGCTTTATGCTAGCCCAACCACTCGCCTGAGACAGATTCGCGCCTCTGGGCCACGAAACGCCCTGAGCTGGCCTCAGCTGTCGTTCTCCGGTCGCTCCCGCTTAGGATTTCCTCACCCATTCCGACTTGGCGGTGGCCCGCCCCATGTCCACGCGCACGCACGCTGCTTGCATTCGGAACTACAAAGAACAAGGTGCATGGCGCGAAGCGCCAATACAGTCTTGTACATATATATATATATACACATGGATATGTGATACCTCTGGGAGAACCCTGGAGCGCCAATGGCTTGAAGTTGCCCGTGATCTCTGCATACTCGTCCTTCCGCTGTGGGATAGCTTCCTGTGTGCGTCGCATGCACATCACCAGGTGATTTCTGTACCTCGCCCATACGCACGTGCACTCGCCTGAACGTGGAGGGGAGGGTCACGAGGAGGGAGCTGCATGGTATGCTGATGTATTTGCTTCTGCCCATTCCCCACCCCAGCCCGCGCAACGAAACACACAGCAAGGACAGCAGTGCGAGCGATAGCACGCGTACGTCGAGCGCATCGTAGTGCTGTTGTGCGTTCGTCTACGGCATGCATGAGCGTGGTGTAGTCCAGTTCTGTCGTGGTTGCTTTCCCCGAGTAGTTTCCGCGTGGGGGAAGCCTCCTGCACTGTCGCTCGAACGCGAGCATCGCACATGTGCACGTTGTCTGATGCTGATACACCAAACGATAATTCGGGGAATTCCGCTAGCTTGCTCTTAAAAATGGCCCGCGCCTCTGGGTCGTCATGTTTGGCGGGATCGTGCGGTAATTCGTGACCTCCGGGGAAAGATGGCCGAATAATGGCCCACAAAGTGTAAGCACGTTCCCACCGCTCTGTGATCTTTTTGTCATCTAGCTCTTGAGAATTGATCCACATATTGCCAGATATTTCGACATAGTCGATCCTTCGAGATTTGGCCTTACGGCCCGGCGCTGTCCAAGTGCCAACGCGACCTGCGAAAGAGGGCAAAACGGTTGACCGCGCCCACTCGATCCGTCTCTTGCAACAAGTCGTGGAGTTCAGCTCCTGGTGGGTTATGCTCGTCGCCCTCGCTGCCGATGGTTTCTGATGTGACACTGCCAACCCTGCCGTTGGCATCGAGACATGATATACACGCATTTGCACGATGACGAAGCTTGCGCGTGAGATGTGTAGTCGTTTCCCCCCGCTGTTGTATGTGGGCGAGCGTGTCTGGATTACGATCGTGCAAGCATGGAGAGTGCGCCACCAACACTTTGCCAGACATGTGCAGCGCGCGTATGGCTACAATAAGGCGGTACTGTTCTTGATTCAATGCACGGCACATTGTGGGTGGTACGTTGCACCCGTTCGGCGTAGGCAATTGCCGTGTTGATCCTCAGCACAGCCGCCTTGCTTTCGCGATTGGCCGAAGACATCAAAACATATAAATTGCCCACAATGGCTGACTTGGCCATTCGTAGCCGAGTGTTCGTCGTACCCGCAACTAGGTACCCACATCGTTCGAATTGTGCCCCCACTTGCTTGAATCGCCCCGTTGGTGGTCCCCAGAGATGATGGCACCCCGTAGGGCCTGGGGGTACTCAGTGAGAGCGTCGGCCGACGCAACCCAAAACTTGACCCGAATTAGCAACGTGCGCGATACTGGGAGGGGAGGCTTCTGGGATACAGCCTTGCAGTCTCACCTGCGAGGGCAGCTGAGCCTGCACGGGGGATCCATGTGGCGGGGGTCGTGTGGCGCGAGCCGTATTGGAAACAGCTACAGTCCATACCCATGGAAGTGCTCGCGTATGTTATGGTAAACCAAGTGCAGCGCGCCACGTGCTGGAAGGTGTGCCCGTGTATACCTCATACAACGCGAGACGTGCTGCAGTGTCTACCCAGTCGTTCCAAGCATGTTTATTGTGACCCAGAACGTGCACCCGAGAGAGAGAGAGAGAGAGAGTGTGTAGTATGCGAGCGAGTACCTGCACAAGCGCATCCAAGATGACCTTCGTCTCTCTGAGAGCTCCTGCTGTGCCCCCCAAGCTCGTCAACTCGTACCACATCGGCATTGTCGCTGTGAAATTTGCCTGCGGAACTGTGGAAACTAAGTTCTGCAATCAACCACTCAGCTGCCTGAACTGCAGCCTTAAGTTCGGAATATGTGGAGAAGGAGGAGGGTGGTAGCCAGCCTGAAGCCCCACAAGCCAGGAGTGCTCGTCGTTCGGGCAATCGCGCAACATGTCCAGAAAAGGTGAGTGGGACGGAGTTGTCTCCATGTCGAAAGCCACCTGCTGAGCATACAGTTAGGATGTCAGTCCTCGTCGGAGCATCTGCTCCGACTCGTGCTGAGAGCCCTGCCAGACCCCGAATCATGGCCGAGTGCTGAAAATGAGCGCACGAGAGGATGTCATCACATAGGCCTTCTGGCCACGGCGTAGGAAGTAAGTGAAGCGTAGGATCCACTTCTGGAAGCGGACTGCTAGCAAGACCTGTCTTGGCCGCGCCTGAAGGAGCCAAGCCCATTGCCGAACTTCGAGCAGGCGTCGGAGGTCCCGAGTTCACTGGCGACAACTTGCTGTAGAACTTCGTCGTCCGAGCCGGTGGAGGGTAGGTCGTCATCACCGTCCATCTGCTTGGTGCATTCTCCCTCCCTTGCTGAACTCTTCCATGGTGCGGGCCTTGGCTTTCTCCTTATCCTTGCACCCTGAGAAGACCCTGTTGGACCTATGGATGGACGGCTTGGACGGCTTGGTCTCTTTTCTGGCACCAGCAGGCTGCTTGTTGATTCCATCGAGAGATGCTGCCATCTCATCCAGTAGGGCAAGTGGCGTTGGTAGGCCGCTGGCGTCATCTGTCAATGTAGCTGCTGCTGGCGCAGTTGCCGCAACGTGCTGCTGGACAGTTGGCTGAACTGGGGCCTGTTGAACTCCATCTGCTCGTGGTGGTACTGGCGCCGGGGGCTGTTGCGCTGGCTGCAGCAAGCCCGCGCGCGTGAGGCTGGTCTGGTCTGTGGCCACCTGCTCGGCCAGCTGTATGAGCTGGGTGACCATCGTGTCATTGTTTGCTTGCGTTGCTGAAAGCGTAGCCGGTAGCGTCGTCGCATCTGCCGTAGTAGGCGTAGCTTTAAATGTTTGCGAATTGGCCGCAGGTTCTTCTGCTGGAGCTTGCTTCCTGGGAGGGCGATCTTGAGGAGCCACGCCAGTCATGTCGTCATCCTCCTGCTCCTCGTCTTAATCGGTGGAAATATGTTCCTCCTTGACTTCTCGCTGGTGGCTAGCACCTTGAGGTGGCTCTGCATGTGCTTCGTCTGGGATTGGCACTTCTGAAGGTAGTTGTCGGCCTCATCCTCCTCCTCCTCCTCCTCCTTCAACGTATTGGATTTGATGCGATATTATATCCTCTGCTGGGCGAGCGTACATGACGGGATGCAGGATTCGTGCAAAATTGGTCTCGATCTCTGTGAGTCGACCCTCTGTGAGACCCAGATCATATCCCACTCGCCCTTGTTTTCGATCGCATCCAGCTGCTGTTTCAATATGAGCCAATGCTTGTGTAGCTCAGATGCCCTCTTCGGCATCGGCACCAAAAGACGATGCGATGCAGCCATGTTTGACTGTGCTGGACCACTCATGGGTGGCTCTTGTGCTGCCGCTGCTGGCGTTGTCTCTGACAACGGCGAGGACGATAAACTTCACGCCATGGTCGGATCTACATGGCATGCTTCATCATAATCTGCTACCCTGGCATGTCTCCAAGCCTGTGTCGGAGAAACTGCGCAGAACCTGCACGACGCCGCCGTCGGTGGGTTGGATCTGCTGCGTATCGGCCATTTTCAGAACTTTGACTTGTTGGCCCAACCCGTGGGCCCATGTGACGGATACTGATTGTGACGCACTGCGCTGTGATGTGTTGCGACTCGTGCTCGAGCTGCTTCCTATCGTACCAATACTCTGGAGAGGGCACGTCGGCTGCGCAAGCGCCTGTGCCACGCTGGTTTACGACGTCGGTCTGGACGAGTCGTGGTGCTGACGGCAGCAAAGTTCCTGATCCTGGGACAAAGGGACGCGTATGAGGTTCTGCCAGATGTAAGGCAGGGGGAGTTCGCACGTGAGTGTGCACCCAATACCCCCCCACTTGCTTCGGCACTGGCCTCGAGAGGGGGAGGCGGGAGGAGGGAGGAGCACCAGGTTTCCAGAGCCTTTCGAGCCCTTTACATGTCTTTCGACATGTCTTTCGGGCCCCATGGCCCCAGGGCGGCTTCCGTCAGCTTCGCAGCGTCGGGGGCTTCCCATTGGGCCCGCACATCCGCTTGGGGCCCCAGGTGTGGCCCAGGAGCCGACGGGAGCGCCAGGAGGCCCAATCGCAATCGCGTCGGGGGAAAACAGGGCACCACGAACAAGTAGGCATTGGTTTTGGGTGTCCCTGGGGGGTCTTGCTGGGTCTCGGGGCCGTCCAAAAGCGACTCGGGATGAGCAGCCGGTCCCGAGGAGCGGATCGAGACTTCCCCGGGTTCACGTCGTGGAAAAACATGGCGTCGGGGGTCTGGAGGGGGAGGGCCAGCCGCGTGCTTTCTTGGGTCTCCCCAGGCATGAGCAAGACGTATTCTCTTCCAGGGCTCAGGATCGGATGGCTGGGATTTGGGTCTTCTCCCGAGCTGAGGGCGATTCAGAAGCGCGTCCACGAGCTGAAGGATTACACCACGATCTGTCCGAGCGCGCCCTCAGAGGTCTTGGCATTGATGGGATTGCGAGCCGGAGGGAAGATCGCCGGGCGGAACCTGGGCATCATCGGAAACAACTTGGAGACAATGGAAAGGTGCTTCGGCGGTGGCTCCTCGACGGGAAAGTTCGTGTGGGCAAGACCGACAGCGGGGAGTTTTGCCTTCCCGAGACTCGTGGGATCCAGCTCTGGCTCAGACGGCGACTCGGCAGCCGCGTCCGACACAGACAGGTACTGTGCCGACCTGGAGCGAAACCACGGAATCATGTTGCTTCCAAGCAGCTATTTTGATGAAGATGTACGGGACAGGTTTCGTATCACATTTGGGAGGAAGGACACGGCCGACATACTGGAGAAACATTGGGCCTTGTTTTAGACTGGTATACATATAGTATTTTCGTTGTGAATGTGCTCCCCACGGAGCCTCGGTTGTAGACCAGAATGCGCGAAAACGAGCAGGGACACACATAGCTTGGGTGAGACGTAAAAAAAGATAGCTTTTTACGACTTGGTCTTGATTTGGTTTGAACTCGAATCCGACATCCCTCGTCCTCATCGTCCTCTTCATGTTGCGGAGGTCCTTGAGGGCCTCCGAAAGCTTCCAGAGGCCACTAAAAGATGAAACATGGATCTTCGAACCTCTATCCTTCCTCGTCCTTCCTTCTCTTTCCCCCTCCTCGCCCTTCGCCCCTGCTTCCTCTCCTCATCCTTCCCCCCTCCTTCCCCTCCTACCCCGCCTCCCTCCAACCTTCCTCCTTCCTCCTCCTCATGCCTCATGCCTCACAGGGCGGGAGCAAGAGGGTCGGCCCCGAGGAGGGCCAAAAGGAGGGCTACGGCTGCTACTACTGGACGGACGACTCAGTCTACCAGGATGGCGCTTCTTTTTCTTCTTCTCCTTCTTCTTCTGGTCCTTCTTCTGCTTCTGCTCCTTTTTCTTCATCGTCGTCGTCGAAGAGGAGAGGTTTGTGGGCGTTTTCCGTCCCCACGATTGGATCCGGCTCGAGCCTCTATCTTGTCATAACGTGCACCCCTGGAGAGGTCCGAGGGCCCGAATTCGAGAGAGGAGAAGACAGCGGGGATGGGGGGGATGAGGATGGGTAGGAGGAGGGGGAGGGAGGAGGAGGAGGAGGAGGAGGAGGAGGAGGAGGAGGAGGAGGAGGGGGAGGAGGAGGAGAAGCAACTCTTCTCGCTTTAGTCGCAGGCCTACAGGTGTCCCCGCCGTGTCTGTCGTCGTCCTCTTCGTCTCCCGCCTCGTTTACCTAGTCAGCGGGCCACTTCCAGAAAAGCCTCTCCCTGCCCACCATGTGACCGTTTTTGATTCATTGTTTAGCCGATCGGCGCGGGCCCCTAAATCCCCCCTCCCCCCACATGGAGTAGATCTTGGCTTTTGTTTTTGGCGCCTGTTTCGAGCGGGTGGAGTCGCCCCCAGGGCCAGCACTCGTGCAAACAGTCTCACCGAGTAGGGGTCTGGAGCCCCCCCCCCCTTTCCGCCCAATGCCAACACGCCGAATACACAAAGCGCTCACCATACGGTGCGGCAGGGAGGGGGCAGAGGCTCTGGTGCACCGACCGAGACAGCCTGCGGCTCCTGGCTCCGAGGGGAAGCACCGAGGCTCGAGGATTGAGGTCTTCGGGCGTCGCGTGGGCGGGGCGCCACCTTTTGTGTTGACTTCAGTGACAGCGTGGGCGCCACCTTTGGTCTGGGCCTGCGCCTTTTAACGTTTGCATATGCATGCTTCGCTCGTTGATCTATGTGTACATCATGTGCCACTGGCGTCAGACTTGCCTGGCCAACGTCATGTAGTACGGAAGGGAGCTGCGTCTCGTAACGAGAAGGAGAACGACGAGACGTGCACGCAGAAGGTGAAACGAGGACAGGAGCTCCCGTCGGATAGTAGAATAAGTGTTGGCTTGGAGTCGCCTCCTGCGGTTTATTAAGCATGCCTCTCTGAGGGTAGATGGACGGACAACGTCATCGACGGGGCCGGCGCTTACACGGTCGGTGTCCATGGGGGAAGGGTGTTTGCGGTCCCAGTGCGTCCCATTGTCCGTTGGTGCGTCTGGATTCTTGCACGACTCTGACAGTCGATGAGACACGTCTTCAGAGGGAGCGCACAGACATATACAAGAAGGTGTCTCGAGGTCGGCCAGGTCCACAAATCGTGTTGCTGACCTGATTTTCGAAGGGTGACGGAGCCCAGTCAAAGTTCAGTGACAGTAACATTGTGATATTCGCGCAGCAGGTGCAGGAGCTGGCTCATCGGCCTCGAAACTCGACCTAGTTCCAGGGGTCCCCCTCCTCGTCCCATCTTTCCGCCATCCCAGTTGCCCCTATCCCCGCCGCTTTCCCCCTCGCTACAGGCCTCGGAAGAAACTAACTAGCGCGCACTCATGCCACATTCATTTGTCAACGACCCCCCAATGATCAATGTTGGTGGTGGGTTGAATGAGTTGCACTTCGAGCGCAGTCTACCCTGCGCGTGCCAACATTGATGAAACTTAGGGAGAGGGTGCGTGTCCATTGATTGCTTCCCACTGCCGTACCTCCGCATCCTTCCCTCCTCCCCTGTGTCGTGCTTTCTCCGCGTTTCTTTGCGCCAGCGCGGTGTTGGTGCAAGAGCTGGCAGTTCCCGCGCTGCCAGCTTGGGATTGTGCGGTGGGCCCGTAGAGGTCAAACAAATCCTTCCTCCCCCCTTGACCCCCCCGGTTTCCCCCTTCCTTTCTCGACTCCTCCCTGCCCTCTCCCCACTTCGCCCTCTCCTCGCCCCTCCCCGTCGGCCCCGTTTCGGGGGGGCGTTCGTGGGCTGCTTCGGTGTGCGGGACGGGCGGCCTTCGGGAAGGAGGAGGAGAGAGGGATGATCGCGCAAGAAACCACCGCAAGCGGAAGTTCTGGATCTTTTTGTTAATCATGCTTTTGTTGGTTGTTTTATGCGTTGCGGCTGTCGTTGGCGAGTGTTTCTGGTTCGACGCAGTGATTTCTCGAAAGGTTGCAGCCTGGCCACTTGCAGCGCTTTTCCCGCGGAGATTCCCTTCAATGTGCTTTCGCGAGTCCGAGTGGCGATCGCGCGCGGCGGCGCCCGTTTGCCACAGCCGACGCGCGCGCTGATCAGGGAAGGTCGCAGGAGTAAAAACGTGGTCGCTGCGGCATTGCAGCGCTATGTGTAAGGCGGCGCGTAACGCCCGTTTCGCTTGTTAGCTGCACGTGTCTTGCATGGGCGGATTGCCCCCGTGCAGCGATGCTTCGCGCGGCGTGATTGCGCCGATTTGGGGCGACGATGCGCTCGTTCATGCGGGCAGGGCGCCTCCGCGTGGCGAGGCCTCTTGTAGCGTCCAGCATGCCGCCAAGTTTGTTCCTTCTGGGCTCGCGGGCCCGCCGCCCCCCTCCCCTCATTGGCGGCGAGCCAAAACATTCGAATGTCGTCCCTTCTGTTTTGTTCCGTGCTTGCGTTTGCCACTTTCTCTTGGGCGGTGATCATTTGTGGTTCGCCTGTCGCCCGGCCCCTTCCCTTGGCCCTACCCCTCCCTCTTTTCGCATTGACTTTTCTGGTGTTTCCTGCACGCATCTCATGATGGAGGGCCCGGTCGGCTCGTGGAGGGCGCGACTTCGTTGTCACATCAGATTCATTGCGGTTGCGCGTAGAGACTCGGGCGCTTGCGTTATGCTTAGTCGTTTGCGGCAAGTCCCGCGCACTGCGATTGCGCATGTTTCGGCGCGGCGAGTTTTGGAGCACCGCTAATGAAACCGCGCCGCGCGACAGATCGTCGCCCACGCAATGGTCGCAACACGTGACACGCTTATCCGCGTCGTTTCGGGGCGTGCTCCTTCGTTTTCGTTGTCGTCCCCCCTTCCTCCGCCCCCCCGCATTGGGTTGTCACGGGGTCCTGTCCCCTCCTCCGTCCCCTCCTCCGTCCTCCCTTCTCCGTCCCCCCTTCTCACGGGTTAATCTCACGCCGCATTGGGCCTGTCACAGGGTCCTGTTGGGTTGTTTTGGAGGCCTCTTGGGGCTCTGTGGGACACTTCGGGGCCATCGTGGGCCGTCCTAGCTCCCCCGGGGGTCAGCTGGTGCCGTCTGGGGTCGTGCCCGCCTCCATGGCGGTTTCATGGGTTTGCCTGCGGGTTGGCGGATGCACTGCAGGTACGGCGGTCACGGCATCAGAGTCGCCAACAGGTCTCGGCAGAACAGTTGCGTCGCGTTTCCAGGCGGGGTGGCTAGTTGAGGGCCTCCGGCGGCCACGCTGGGACGTTTGAATTTTGGGTCCCCCCGCTCCACGAAAACATGGTGGACATAAGGAACTTTCGGGTTCCTGAAAAATTTCCCCCCTGGGGGCCTCTATGGTCTACGAGACATATGTCGATCCACGAAATGTAGTAAGGAGTTCCCCGGGTCCCAAGTAAGGTCCTTATTTGGGTGCCCGGCGGTCCCACTATTCACGGCCTTACTTTGGTCCTCGGCGGTCGCAGGTACCACAGGATTCAAAGATCTCAAAGGTCCCAGTGGTCATCCAGTTCCCACGAGGACCACAGGTCTCGCAGATCTCGCAGGTCGCGCAGGTCTAACAGTCCCCGCAGGGCCCACAGGTCCCACAGGTTTCGCAGGTCTCTCAGGTCTCGCAGGTCTCACTGGTTTCACAGTTCCCACAGGTCCCACGGGTCCCACGGGCCCCACAAGTCCGCCAAGTCCAACAGATGTCGCAAGTCTCACAAGTCCCGCATGTCCCACATACCCCACATGTCCCACAGGTCCCGCAGGTCCAACAAATCTTGCAGGCGCCGCAGGCTTCGCAAGTCTGGCAGGTCTCGCAGGCCCCACACGCCCCATTGGTCCAACAATTCCATAGTTCTCTCATGTCCCATGAATCCTAAAGGTCCCACAGCTTCCACATGTCCGACCGCTCCCACAACGCCCACAGGTCTTACAGGCCCCTCAGATCTCACATGACACACATGCCCCACAGGTCCCACAGTTCCAAAAAGTCCGGCAGGCCCCGCAATTCCCACAGGCCCCACTGATTCCACAGAACGCACATGTCCTACACGTCTCACAGGTCCCACAGGTCCCACAGGCCCAGCGGGTCCCACAGGTCCCACAGGTTCCACAGGTCCCACAGGTCCCACAGGTCTCACAGGTCTCACGGGCCACACAGGTCCCACAGGTCCCACAGGTCCCACAAGCCCCACAGGTCTCACAGGTTTCCATGTCCCACAGGCCCCACAGGTCCCGCATTGCCCACAGACCCCACAAATCCCACAGGTCTCGCAGGCCTCTTTGGTCCCGCAGGTCCCACAAGTCGAGGTCCTACAGGTCCCACAGCTCCAACGGGGCTCGTTGGTCCCGGAGGTCCGACAAGTCCCACAGGTCCTACAGACCCCGGATGGATCGCGGGTCTCGTAAGTTCCGCATGTCCCGCAGGTCCCACATGTCCCGCATGTCCCGCATGTCCCACAGGCCCCACAGTTTTCACAGCTCCAATTGGTCTAGCAGGCCTCGATGGTCCCACATGTCCTGCAGTTTCCAAAGGTCTCTCATGCCACCTTTGTTGCTATCTGGGTGCTTTGCTAGAGTAAGTTTTGAAGTACTGGGCGCACGTAATTGCTTGAGCTGCGCGTAGTGCCGAATGGGCCATGAGCGCAAGTGGTAAACGCTGCCCCACAAATGCGGAATGTTGCCCGTCGTGGATGTTTGATGTGAACTTGCGGAGGCGGTGGTTTCCATTGTGGTCAGAGGAGGAGGAGGAGGAGGAGGAGGAGGAGGAGGAGGAGGAGGAGGTTGAGGAGGAGGAGGAAATTGATATCGGAATGGCGAGTTCGCGAAGCGAAATGGAGGTTGAGGAGGAGGACGTGGACCGTTTTTTTAATTCATTGTTTCGCCGATCGGCGCGGGCCCCTGGCCTCCCCCCCCCCTCCCCCTCCTTGGATCAGATCCTGGCTGTTCTTGGCGACTGGTCGGGACCCCTTTTCCTCAATCTGCCTGCGCGACTGGTACAAGCAGATCGAGATCGACTAAGCACCGGCCCAGACCCGGACCCTCTGCGCCTCCCCCACCCTTCGGCCAAATGTTCAAGCCCAGAGTGCAAGCACGCCGATCTTGAGATGATGCTGCTGCTGCTGCTGATGATGATGATGATGCTGCTGATGATGCTGATGCTGATGCTGATGCTGATGATGATGATGATGATGATGATGATGATGATGATGATGATGATGATGATGTGATGATGATGATGATGATGATGATGATGGTGATGGTGATGATGAAGATGATGACGATGGTGATAGTGATGATGATGAGGATGATGTGAGGATGATTATGTAATGATGATGGTGATGGTGATGGTGATTATGATAATGGTGATGACGATGATACTCATGATGATGGTGGTGATGATGATTCTAATGATGGTGATGATGACGATCCCTGCGATCCAGGCGTCGCATTTGTTTTACATCAGGCGTGTGCTTCTGGTTTCGGATTCTCAGACCCTCCCGGACCGATCCGTCTCGAGATACGCCGCAAAAGATTGTGTCTCGGGCTTCCGTCGTTGTGCTTCACGATGCTGCATTTTTCTTGACGTCGGATTTCAAGGATAGTGACACTGGCATTTCGATGACGATTGTAATTTGGCTGATGGAGAAGACGTTATTGGTGTTGGAAGCGATTTCGATTGTGGTGATGTTGATGCTGATGATCACGAGCGACCAACATATCCGTGTCCATCCCCTCGCGATCTGCATGTCGAGGCGCCATAGGTCTGTGACCCCATGGTGCGGTTCTCGCGGGGCATCCGCGCAAAACCGCCCTGTATCCATGGGATCGCGGCTTCGGAGTCCAGACCGCGAGGCCCTGGAAATGGATGAGTTTCCCGCCCAGGAGGAGGAGGAGTAGGAGGAGCAGGAGGAGGAGGAGCAGGAGGAGGAGGAGGACGAGGAAGCGAAAGAGGACGAGCAGCAGCAGGATCAGCAGAGGAGAGGGAGGGATGAGATGCAAAGCAGGAGGATGAGGATGAGGAGGAGGAAAAAACAACAAGAAAAAAACAGAGGACGAGGAGGGCAGGCGGGAACAAGACCTGGAGAAGAACAAGGAGGGCAAAGACGTGGACGAGGAGGAAAAAATACAGAGGAGGAGGACGAGGAGGAGGACCCAGACCTTCGGCGTCTTGCTTTTCTCATGACGTCGCTCCCCCCAGAGGTCCCGACCCCTTCCCAGCGGGCGGGCTGTTCGCCCCGTGCTGTTGTCGGACGCCCCACAGGCCCGGCAAGGGCCCCCAGGGGGCCGAGAGCCAGCAGACGCCCTGCGCCATCACTCTTCCGCGAGCAGGGCGATTCCGAAGAGAGCTCTGAGGCGGATCCGGCCGCGGCGGCGAGGAGTTCCCCAAAGGCCCAGGCACGTCCGGAAGACGCCCGAGAACCTCGGTGTCCAAGCCCCGAACCTCGAGGAGCCAGAGGTGCAGTCAAGACGCTGAAATAAGGACTGCTTTGGGTTCGGAAGGGGCTCGCTGTTCCTTAGGTCATTCTGTGAGTGTTCCTCTGGCCCTCCTCGTGCACCCAGGTTCTTTTGGTACCAAAAGGGGCTTCGTTCCGTATGCTGCGTTCGTTCTTTTAGCAGCCCGGCTGCGGGCGGGCGGGGAAGCAGGGGGACGCTAGGGGACCACATGCGAACCCTACCCCTGCCCCCCACGATTTCAGAGGGGGGTAGGGGTAGCGTTCGCAAGTGGCCCCCTAGACGCGGCGAGTCGCCACGGGGGAAACGGGTCCTGCGGGAAACGTGTCCTGAGGTTGTTCTTCGTTTTCGAGCTCTCGGGGCCCTCCACGGGCCCTTGGATTGTCGGATATCAGGAGGGAAAAAAACGCACAGACACAATGAGTCGCCGATCCCCAGGTAAATACGAGAAAATATTGGAAGTGGGGGGAAGACGAAAGTCCAGAAAATATGGAAAACATAATTGAAATCGTGGGATCCGTGTGTATAATTATTTGTGTGTCCTTGGGCGCCTTCAAGAAAACGACTCGGGGTGAAACATTCGCCCTGAAGGAAGGCACCCAGGGTCCGGGAGCCTCCTTGGGCTCCGGGCTGGTCCAAGGCAGGGCTCACTCGCGTTCCTGCGCCTCGGTCCGTTTCGAGTTCGACCGACTCCGATTCCGATTCGGTTCGGCTCCGGATTCCGATCTGGATTTCGGTTTTCCCTGGGGGTCTTGCTATCCAGCCGGTTCCCGCCGATTCGACTTTTCCCGACTTGGCTGCCGATTTCCACCGAACCAAGTCATTCCGATCGCCGATCCGACCTGTCGATTCGAGTATGGGTTCTCCTGCCAGGGGTGCGTTCTGACCAGAATTTCGAGGCTGATGCAGCCGTGGTGACGAGGACGCCCCCAGAGGCCAGAAATTCGTCCAAACGTCCAAGAGCTTCCATCCACAATCACACGTTTGGGTCCGCGGGCGAATCAGACGCTGGTCAAGCGACGGGAGGGGCACTCCAGAAGCGAATTGGGCACAACAAATACGCGGGCAGAGCAGGGAAAGGCGAAAAGAGAGCGGAGACCGCGCTCAGATCCACAATTACACGCCCGACGTCCACGTCGACAAGATAGGGACCAGCCGTACAGTCAACCCGCACTGTAAGGATGGGCAACCTTCCCAAGGGTACCCTTGCATCCTTGCCTCCTCGGTCCATCCTTGGCCACTTTCGTTGGCCACGCCCCACTCGAGAAGCTTCGAGATGGCCTTCCAAGGCCCTTGCATTCTTATCGCGCATCCTTTGATACGGGTTGATTGCAGGGACCAGCCGTAGGTCCTCTCTTCGCGACCCCGTCCTTGACTCATTCGCGGTGGCGGGATGGCGGGCGGGCAGAGGATGGTTACGGCATGTGGATGTCTTGTCGACGCGGCGGCGACCCCGGCGCGGGTGTTGAAGGCTGAACGCCGCCAGTGGCCAGGACGGCCGATATCGATCGATCTGCGCCACTGGCAAGGCGCGGTCGTCCAAGGTTGAGCATCCGCGCGAAGACAGAAGCCAGCGCCTAAAGCGTCACGGCGTGAATTTGCCGTACAAGCTGCATGCAGCTGGTTTCGGCCCCGCGGCCGAGCACATTCATCGATACATGATCGCTCTTTGCGCCTCCCCTCCTGTCGCTGGGAGACCAACTGCCTGCGGCTGATTCGCTAGCCCATCTCCTCTCGTCCACCCCCGGTCTCGATTGAGATCCTTGCTGGTTATACTTGCTAACCAACCCTCTACTACCTCACCTTCCCAGACCCCGAACGTCGTGATCTTTTCACAGCGTGGACCCCCACCCCACCTTCCGCGGAACGGGCTTTCTGGTCCGAGGTCGTTTTTGTTGACGGTCCTGGGGTCGGGTGAGGGCGTCTGGAAGCCGAAAAACTGCCACAGACCGCTCCGTCGTGATTTGTTTTTCCCGATGTGGGGAAGTTTGGGCTGATCGGGTTCTGGGCAATATTTCGTTGTCAGGCGGCCGTTCCGGACGATCCTGGCGCGCACAGGCGCTTCTCGGCGAGGCGCAGCTGATGAAAAGCACCCTGAGGCCCGAAATTTCAGAAGTATTTGCAAGCATTCGAAAGCCAGTATCCTGGGTCCTCTGAAAAACTTCTGGGTGGGGCTCGGAGTTCCGCCCGGCCGCCCTCCCGTACAGAGGCCAGCGACGGGCGCTCCTTCGCTGGCCAGTGGAAGGAGTCCGTGATACACGGGCTCGGGAAGGCCGGGCCCGCTGCAGGGGGAGGAGTTCGGGAGCCTTGAGACGGGGGTCAATGCAAACGGGGGTCAGCCACGGCACCGGATCCTGCAGGATCCTGCGAAGACCCCCTCTGGCTGACCCGGGTTAGCGAGCCGTTCGTGGCCGCGAGGCGGCCGCACATATTGGCTGACCCTGGTTTGCGAAGACCTGCGTTGCAGTTTTTTTTTGTCGTCCTGCATTGCAGTTTTTGGTTTCCTGCTGACCCGGGTCTGGATTGACCCGGGTCAGAAGATCCCCGAGGAGTGCGGAGTGAGGAGCAGAATCCTCCCTCCTCCATCCGGTGTCCTGGAGGACAGCTCCCCCCGTTCGCACCACCAGACGTTTCGTTCGGGCTGGCCGATCGTTTCGCCTGAGACCGCCTCCCCGCTTCACGGTCTTGAAGCTTCGCTAAGTGTGCCGATGTTCACCTGGATAGAGGGTGGGTCGCTTTGAAATTGGGGCTCTCGCCTGCGCGCCGCGCATAGTCATTGTCAACATAACCAACACACCCACGGATCGAGGGCGGGTGGTTTCAAAATGGGGAATCTCGCTTTGGCGCCTATTCGCTGTACAGAATCAGTAGCCACACGGATGGAGGGCGATTTCTTTTCAAGATGGGTTTTTGCATGATACATCCTCAACGTGTGCCATGTGAGTCTGCAGCGCTGCAGCAGCCACGCTCATGGACGGCAGTTCCTTTCCCGAAGTGGGTCATTCCTTGAGACTTCTTCGAATTCGCCACCAACCTTTTCAGCATAGCAAGTGTTTCACGGATGGAGGGTGGAGTCCTTTCACAAAGTGCCTCTCTCTTGAAATTTCCAAGGGTGCTAGTACCATGCTTTCCAAGTTGTTACATATTTACATGGGTGGAGGGTGGTGCCACTTCAAAAAGGAGATCTCGTTTGATGCCTCGTCAACTTTATAACACGCGTTCTCAACAACCACACAGCTGTAGGGCTATCGTTTTGTTGACTACGGCTCTCGCTTCCGACAACACGGAGTTCAAAGCTAGACGTCTAACAATGTGCGAACATGTGCACGAATGGAGGGGGAATCTCTTAGAATACTTCGTCAATGTTGGTGTTCAGACGTTCACAATTTTGCAGCAGCTGCACGGATGGAGAGCGACTGTTGTTCAAAATAGGGCTCCAGCTTGAGACATTGGCAGACTCCAAACCACACATTCACATGTTGCAAGTGTGACACGAACGGAGGGTGGTGCCCTTTTACATGGGGCTCTCGCTTGGGGTATCCGGAAATTCTATTACTTGACATTGTATATCGTGGGGCATCAGCGCGGGTGGAGGGTGTTGCCGTTTCAACATGGTGTTCTCATCTGAGACCACGCCGTCAATTTGATTACCAGGTTTTCAGGTTCGCGCAGCACTTACACGGGTGGATGGCGATTGCTTTTCAGAACGGTGCTCTCGCTTGGGGCATCATCTGGGTTAACAGCATAAGTTTGACATTGATTGCGCAACTGTTACGCGGATGTTGTTTGTTGTCAGGGTAATTGTGCTTGGACAGTTCCTCGAATAGTTCGTTTAATTACGTCGCACCCTTTGTAGCTCAGAGGATGGATGCCAGCTCACTTAAAACATGAGGCCCCCGTCTTGCTGAAGCTCCTGTGTGGCGCTCGGCTTTCAAGGGGGACGATTCCCGCAGTGAAGCAAAACATGTCTAGAGGCATGTATGAGGAGTGGACTTGGACCAGGAAGGTGTATTGCAGCATCGTTGATATATCTTGGGGTTCCTCTGGCTCCTCCTTTTCCGCCCCCTCACCTCCTCGAGGAGGCGAGGAGGCTGAGGAGGAGGCGAAGGAGGCGGCGGCAGAGGAGGTGGAGGAGGGGAAGGCGGAGAAGGAGGAGGAGAAGGAGGAATAAGAAAATGGGGCGGGAGGGGGCTGAGGGGGAGGAAGAGGAGGAGGAGGAGGAGGAGGAGGAGGCCTCGTCGTACACGGGCTTTGCATATCCCGGCCCGTTGCAAGTTCAGACGGAGGCATCGTTGTTTAGCTTCGTCGTTCGTCGTCTTCGTTGGTCGAGAGGGGAGGTTGAGGAGATGCAGGATGATGTTGGATATGACGGTGATTCCGAGTTCGACGATGCTGACGGGATGGTGATGATGATGTTGCTGATGATGATGATGATTCTTATTACGATTATGATTATGGTGGTGATGATGGTACTAATGATGGTGATGATGCTGATGAACATGAGGATGATGAAGATGGTGGTGATGATGACTGTGATGTTGATTTGATGATGACGAAACTTACGAATATGTTGGTTGTGACAATAATGATGACGAGGACGATGATGATCCTGAGGATGTTGGTAGTGATGACAACGACGCTGATGATGCTGATGATGATACTAGTGCTGACGTTGAGGTTGATGCTGATGATGCTGCTGATGACGATGACGATGACGATGATGATGATGATGGTGATGATGATGCTTCCTTGGTGGATTGATGATGATCGTGATGATGGTGGTGGCGGTGTCGATAGTGATCATAATACTGATATTGATAATGATGGTAATCATGTGATGATGATGCTGAGGATGATGATGATGGTGGCGATGATTCGCTGCTGCTGCAGATGATGTCGATGATGATTATGCTGGTGATGATGCTGCGGATGATGATTGTGATACTGGTGGTGGCGGTGATGATGACGATGATGATGATGACAGTAACGATGATATGGATGTTCTGAATAATAATGGTGATGTCGATGCTGATGGTGATGATGACTATGGTGGTGATGATGATGAGCATGATGATGATGATGATGATGATGATGATGATGATCATGATGACGACGACGATGATAATGATAATGATGATGATGATGATGATGATGAATATGATGATGATGATGACTATGTTGTTGTTGACGATGGCGATGACGACGACGGCTACGACGATTGTGATGACGACGATGATGCTGATTCTGGTAATGATGATGATGATGATGATGATGATGATGATCATGATGAAGAGATGATGATGATGATGATGATGATGATGATGATGATGATGATGATGATGATGATGATGATGATGATGATGGTAAGCATGCGGATGATGATGATGATGATGATGATGACGATGATGATGATGATGATGATGATCTGGATGATCATTGCCAAGATGCCCAATGGCCAATCTGATCAAATATGGATTACCAAGAATTGTCAAGATGCTGAATTGCCAGAGTTGCAAAGGTTGCCATAATGATCAGGATGATCATGATGACGGCTCCATTGCCAAAATGCTCAAGGATAGAAATGTGCCTGTGGCGGAAAGGCTGCGGGCGTGGTGCCGGGGGCCCGTGGGTGCAGCGCTCTGTGGGGCAGGTGGTTGGGCTCTTTTTAAGCATAACGTACACTTATTAACAAGGTGGAAGTTCAATCATATTAGGGCTTTCCTGAAAATGAAGAGAACCAAAGATGAGGAAGGGAATCACGAGTACAACCAGCGCACAGACCGGACGATTTATGAGCTTTTCGTAAATTACCTGTTGGATCCGATTTGCGTGGAAGTCTCGAAGATGAAGTTCAATTGGGCGAAGATCTGGTGGACGTTCAAGTCAGACGATGGCGCCAGTCCTCTTTATGACTACACGAATTGCCGCCCAGCCGCCACGTGGGAAGAAACGAGGTCTCTGTGCGAGGAGTGGGGTTACAACAACCTTACAGGATGGAGACACCAGCACAGCGGCAGGATATTACGATTCGAGGACGGCCTGAACAGCTCATTGCCGCATTTGAAACGGTGCCTTGAGGACAGCCCGGGCGCTTGGCACACTTACCGGAAGGGGTTCTTGAAACATGTCATTGTGGAGTACATCTTGAAGGCGGAAGCCCTCGCTGGTTTCGAGCGGACTCCCAGACCATGCAGTCCCGCGTATGGACGGAAGAAAAGAACGTGCTCTGATCTGGAAAAGGCGCGTGGCGGTTTCTTAGCCTATCACCAACGGGCATTATCAGATTCATTGGGCGGTGATCTTTACAACACGGTTTCGGCGGATTGTTTGTGGGAGAGGCCCTACACCTGCGAGTTCGTAGCAGACAGCGAGACACCCATGAACATACTTTCGGGCACTGCAGCGGCCGGAGACGCTCACAAGGACATAGTAGACCACGTGATCGGTAACATCTCAGAGATGATGGTGGTGTATACTGTTTAAGAAGGGTGTTAAAGAGGCCGGCTATGTTGCCATCTTTTGCATGGATGTAAGGGAGGACTTCGAGTATGTCAACACGGAATGTATGAACACTTCCATGGGGAGCATCACGAATATACAGTGTTGGAGCGACGGGGGACACCGCCCAGAACATGGAATCTCAAGTTTCGTGTGGGTATTCAAAGGGTGGGTCAATGATCACGGGCCACGTATCCTTGCATTCGGAGGTTCGTTTCAATCGTGCAGTGCGAGCAGCAGTTCAGAGGTAGAAGCACAATGTCTCAACAAACTAGCGGAGGTACGCTTGGGAATCATCAGTGGTATTACCAATACTATCAGTACTAGCCGAATGCGTTCAGCAAGTAACGGTAGTAAGCGCGCCAAGTTTTTCGAAACTTCGGCGAATGACTGAGGCGGCAGGTCCCAGGGCAGGCCCGGTGATATTGTCCTCACTGCCGTTTGAAACAGAACAGAACATAACAAAACATATGATGGTGCTGATGATGGCGATGGTGATGGTGATGCTGATGCTGGTGATGATGATGGTGGTCTGATGGTGACAATGGCGATGTTGATGATTATGATGATGATGATGCTGAGGACGGTGATCATGATGAGGATGACGACGACGAAGAAGAAGGCGATGATAACGCCGACGATGGTTGTGGTGGTGTTGGTGGCGATGATGGGGAGGAGCGGAAAACAAAAAGAGCATGAGGATGAACAGCAGAAGGAAGAAAAGGATATTGAGGACGGCCGCGCGGGATAGTTCGTTTCCTTTTCTCCGCGCCGGCGGTGGCGGGCATTTCGGTCGAGCTCCACACCTCATACGAGACGCCAGATACTGCGTCTCGGAGAACCTCGGCCTTCGGCCCCGACCCTCGAACCTCGCTCCTTCGCACCACCATCGTGCGATCCTCGAACCCCGATCGACGAAGGGGTGGGTGTGCCGCCCCATCTCTGGATCAGATTCGCAAGTATATCCGGGGAACAAGCAGCGACATACACGTGCACTTTTGGAGGTGGGGCCGCCTCCCTCTCGGGCCCCGGAGGCCGACCAAGATGGGCCCCGTGGGGAGGCAGTTTTGGGCCCCGGGTTCATTCTTGATGGCCCTCGGGCCTGCAGAGCGGCCCCCGGAGACCGGAGCGCAGGAACGGCGCCGCGAGTGGACAAATCACGGCGTCGGAGGTTCGGAAGCGATAGCGGCGAACGACGGAAGCGGGCCCTGGGCGAGGGGGGGGAGGACATTCGGGGGCGCGTAATGGGGGGGCGATGAACTGAGGGGGCAGCGAGGGCTGCAGAAAAGGGGCCCTCGGGCCCTTCCGGGCCTCTTTAGGGCTCCAACGAGTGCCCTGAGAAAAACCGAAAGGGCACCTGTCTCCCTCCCCCATGAAACGACTTCTCGTTAATTCGCGCCCAAGCCCCGAGCGCAAAGCCACGCCGCCGGGGGAGGGTTCCGAGACCTGTCCAGGGCCGCGCGCTGAAAATAAGAAACCGCACCGCTCGGTGCCGCGGGTTTTCGCCCGCGCCCCCGCGCGGAGGTCCTGCGGAGGCCTCGCCTTCGGCGCAGCGTCGCGCTCGGAGGAAGCTGGGCGGAAGCCCGCGAATGCAAAGCGTCGGGTGGTCAAGACGCCACGGCCTCCACATAGAGGCCGGAGGTCGTGGCTCCAGGAGGACCCCCAGATCCCCCCCCCAGGCGCTCCAGGAAGCCCCCGAGACGCCCCCCTTTCGGCCCTCCTCCCATCCCCCCCCCCTTCCTCCCATCCTCCCCTTACTACTGGAGCCCCCAATGAGCGGGCGGGAGGCCGGCGGGGAGCCAGTGGAGAGGTGGCAGAAGTAAAAGTGAACCTTTCTGGGTTCACGGTTTCCAGAACCCGCCATGTGCGTCCATCTTGCCTTTTCGTCCCGTTGCGTCCATGCTGGGAGGACGACGCACTCGACGTAGGGTTCGAGGTCAAAATAGTGCGGGTGCAGGGTGCCACCGCGGTGCAGAGGGTGCAGAGGGTGCAAAGGGTGCAGAGGGTGCGCGGAGCAGAGGGTGGTGCAGGGGGGGGAGCCCGAGGGAGGTATGAGGGAGGAGGTGGGGGAGGAAGGTGGGGGAGCTTGGCAACCCTCAGAGGAGTGAGGTAACATTCGCGCTTCACGCTTCGCGGTCTGGGCTGGAGAAGCGCGTTTTCCCCGAAGTCCCCAGGGACGGCGTGAGAGCGCGAGGATAGCCGCGCGCAGTGAAACGCGAGGAGCGAAGACAGGGCACCTGGGGATGAGGGGTTCGGCGTGCCCCCACGCGCATCACGGGGAGAAGAGGGAGAAGAGGGAGGGAGGGGGGGGGAGGAGGAGGAGGAGGAGGAGGAGGATGAGGATGAGGAGGAGGAGGAGGAGGAGGAGGAGGAGGAGGAGGAGGAGAGAGGAGGAGAAGAAGGGCTGCCTTCATTGCCCTCGTCCTTCCCCTGGCCGCGACCCAGTACACCTGGCCGGGTGGGCGCGAGTATCGCGGCGCCTACGTCGCCGACCAGAAGCACGGCTTCGGGATCTTCACATGGCCTGATGGGAGGACTCCATTGCCTCGGGGGGCCAGCGGAAGGGAACGGATGGACGTTTCTTGATAGCCAGGAGCGTTTGTTTAAGGTTTCGAATTTCGCGCGGACGGCCTCCCAGGCAGTCCCGGCTGGCCTCAACAGGACTGCCTGGGGGGTCTGCCTGCGCGTAACCCGAAGCTTTACCAGGAACATTTGCTAGCGTGCCGCGCCGTCGGTTCTGGCACACGACGCCTCGGCGCGATACGTTGCGTCAGCATGTCCCTGTCCCTAGTCATCACCGTCCCTCCAGGCCTCCTAGATGGGGTCGGAGTAGATGGGGTCGGAGGATCGCTCCGCATCGCCGATGCATCGGCGATGCGGGTCGATGTGGGGGCCAATTTTCTCCGCGCTGGCGTCGCCAGTGCATCTCCGACGTCGCTGGTGCATCGCCGATGCATCGGTGATGCATCGGCGATGCGGCGCGATCCTTCGACCCCATCTACTCGGATCCCATCCAGGAGGCCTCTAGCCCGAAGCTCTCCCTTGCCTCCCGTCCCAGGGCTCAGAGCGGCACGCGCGATCAGCTTGCAGGGCACCGCGCGCCGCAGGGGCGGCCGCTGCGACACGCTGAAAGCAAAAGTCCGTCACCGCAGGGGGGGGCGACAGCGACGGCGGCGGCATCGGCGGCGCGCCGTCGCTCCCTGGGAGGCCGTAGGTCGTGACAAGGCGTACAGTCGGCCCGCATAGCAAGGATGGGCAACCCTCCCAAGGGTACACTCTGCATCCTTGCCTCCTCGGTCCATATCCTTGACCACTTTCGTCGGCCGCGCCCCGCTCGAAAAGCTTCGAAATGGGCGTCCAAGGCCCCTGCGTCCCTATCACGCGTTCTTCTGATTCGGGCCGGCCGCAGGTCGTGAACAGATCTTTTTGACGGGCTTGACGGGGATGCGGTCGGGAAGTTCTGCTCAGCGCGTCGCGCCGCTGGCTCATGCCCGCCGCGCTCCGGCGCGACACGCGGTCCACGTCCCAAACCCTGAGCGTCAGCGTCTCGAGTTTTTGTCCAGCCTCCCGCCCCGCGGAGCGACACGCTATTGTCGCGGGGGCCGCTGCCGCGATTTGCAAAGCAAAAGTTTCCGTCCGTAGGCCCGAGGGGCCAACAGACTAGAGCACGAAAGCCGCAGGGAGTTCTGGCAGGCCAGAAAAAGCGTTGGAACGAGGGCCACCTCGGTCCCGTGATGGGTTCTGTGTTCTCCGAGAAACACCGAAGCGTTGTGGGTCAGAGGAACGGGGTGCAGAGGACGGACGGAGTCCTTGCAAGCAAGAGCGGCGTCGGAACGAGGACCGCTTTGGTTGTCAGATGGGCTCGGACAGTTCTCGCATGCTAGTGTGGCTCTCTTTCAGGCCATCTGAGCATTACTTTTCCCCCACATGCTTAGTGGGGTGATGGTGTTCTTCCTTCCCGCGTCGCACCCGCGTCTCCTCCTCACCCCTCCTCCTCCTTCTCCTTCTTACACAGCACAGCGCAGCACAGCGCAGCACAGCGCAGCGCAGCGCAGCACAGCTCAGGACAGCACAGCACACAGCACAGTGACACACAGCACGTACACTGCACAGCACAGCACTGTTCAGCCCAGCTCAGCTCAGCCCAGCACAGCACAGCACAGCACAGCACAGCGCAGCTCAGCACAGCACAGCATAGCACCTCAGCACAGCACAGCTCAGCTCAGCTCAGCACTGCACAGCACAGAACAGCACAGACCAGCTCAGCACAGCACATCACATCGCAGCACAGCTCAGCACGGCACAGCTCAGCACAGCACAGCACAGCACAGCTCAGCTCAGCGCACACACACACACAGACACACACAGACACACACAGACACACACAGACACACACAGACACACACAGACACACACAGACACACACAGACACACACAGACACACACAGACACACACAGACACACACAGACACACACACAGAGACACACAGAGACACACAGAGACACACAGAGACACACAGACACACAGACACACACACAGACACACAGAGACACACAGAGACACACAGAGACACACAGAGACACACAGAGACACACAGAGACACACAGAGACACACAGAGACACACAGAGACACACAGAGACACACAGAGACACACAGAGACACACAGAGACACACAGAGACACACAGAGACACACAGAGACACACAGAGACACACAGAGACACACAGAGACACACAGAGACACACAGAGACACACAGAGACACACAGAGACACACAGAGACACACAGAGACACACAGAGACACACAGAGACACACAGAGACACACAGAGACACACAGAGACACACAGAGACACACAGAGACACACAGAGACACACAGAGACACACAGAGACACACAGAGACACACAGACACACAGACACACAGACACACAGACACACAGACACACAGACACACAGACATACATACATACATACACACACCACACACATACAAGCACGCAAGCACACAAACACATGCCACGCACACCACGGCACGTACATGAGACACGCGTCTACATACAGCCGCACGCATGCACACACTCCTACACACACCATACAAAGCTAGTGCACGCCTGGTGTGTCCACTGCATCATACACCCACGACGTGTGCGCTACATAATGGGCACACCCATTAGACACACGTTCACATACAGCCTGACACACATCTCACAGCGTGCTTGTGCGGTCTCTATCCGTTTCGGCCTCGCACAGCATGGCAGGCGTGACATTTCCTCGACGCCACAGGGGGTGCGCTGGGGGTGCGGTCGCTATCCGTTTCGGCCTCGCAAAGCGTGGCAGGCGTGGCACTTGCTCGACGCCACAGGGGGTGCGCTGGGGGTGTGATCGCTATCCGCTTCGGCCTCGCAAAACGTGGCAGGCGTGGCAATTTCTTGACGCCACAGGGGGTGCGCTGGGGGTGCGGTTGCTAGCCGTTTCGGCCTCGCAAAGCGTGGCAGGCGTGGCACTTTCTCGATGCCACAGTGGGTGCGCTGGGGGTGCGGTCGCTATCCGTTTCGGCCTCGCAAAGCGTGGCAGGCGTGGCACTTTCTCGACGCCACAGGGGGTGTGCTGGGGGTGCGATCGCTATCCGTTTCGGCCTCGCCATGCGTGGCAGGCGTGGCACTTTATCGACGCCACAAGTTGTGTGCTGGGGGTGCGGTCGCTATCCGTTTCAGCTTCGCACAGCGTGGCAGGCGTGGCACTTTCTTGACGCCACAGGGGGTGCGCTGGGGGTGCGGTCGCTATCCGTTTCGGCCTCGCAAAGCGTGGCAGGCGTTCATCGACGCCACATGGTGTGCGCTGGGGGTGCGGTCGCTATCCGTTTCGGCTTCGTAAAGCGTGGCAGGCGTGGCACTTTCTCGATGCCACAGGGGGTGCGTTGGGGGTGCGGTCGCTATCCGCTTCGGCCTCGCTCAGCGTGGCCAGCGTGGTACTTTCTCGATGCTACAGGGGGTGCGCCGTGGATGCGGTCGCTATCCGCTTCAGCCTCGCCAAGCGTGGCAGGCGTGGCACTTTCTTGACGCCACAGGGGATGCGCTGGGGGTGCGGTCGCTATCCGCTTCGGCTTCGCAGAGCGTGGCAGGCGCGACACTTCTTCGATGCCACAGGGGGGTCCCTGGGGGTGCGGCCGCTATCAGTTTCAGCTTCGCAGAGCGTGGCAGGCGCGACACTTCCTCGACGCCACAGGGGGTGCGCTGGGGGTGCGGTCGCTATCCGTTTCGGGCTCGCAGCGTGTGGCAAGCGTGGTACTTTCTCGATGCCGCAGGGGAAGCGCTGGGGATACGGTCGCTATCTGTTTCGGCCTCGCAGCGCGTGGCAGGCGTGGCAATTTCTGGCGCCACAGGGGGTGCGCAAGGGGTGCGGTCGCTATCCGTTTCGGCTTCGCAAAGCGTGGCAGGCACGGCACTTTCTCGACGCCGAAGGGAGGGCGTTGGGGGAACGGCCATCAACATCATTCTCACATGCTTCACTTCAGCTACCATCACTCCAGTCATAATGTAAGTATGTGGGGTTCCTGTGAGTTTCCAGTGACAGCAACATGTGTTTTCTGCTCACCATGTTCTCCACTGGTGGGCTTTTCTGTGTCTCCGTCGCTCTAGTGTGTTTTGTGGGTTCTTTCGCAAGGGGGTGGTCTTGTGGTGTTTCCCAGCCAGTCTGTGAACCGAGGCATCAGTGGTATGGTCGACACGGGACGCTGCGACCCAGCGCGCCTAGCCACCACCACCGCGGTGCGCTGCTTGCGCCGCCGCCCAGGCGGCGTCCGCCATCCGCTGCGACGCAGGCTTGCCGCAGCGCTGGCAGCGCAAGCGGCACACCGATTTGCCAACGTGCCCGCCTGGGCAGGCCCAGAGGCCCAGAGAGCACCGCTGGATCTGCCCTGCCAGCAGCCTGCGAGCGGCCGCCGCCGCCACCGCCGCCGCGCGGTTGCCCAGCATCCAGCACTGGCCACGCGCATGGATTGTCCTACGCGCAGGCCTGGGCGCCGATCCGGGCCGCTGTTCCTGCCCAGCAAGCTTGAGAAATGGCCACTTGAGCAAAATCGGCTGCGGACGCCCACCCCAACCACGCAGCCCCCACACACACATCGACACGCACTTTGTGGCCTCGCGGTCGCGCGCGCGCGCGCGCGTCGCAGCAGAGTTAGGCAGGCGGAGAAGGAGGAGCGCGCCAGGTCCTCACGCAGCCAGCAGGCGGGGCTACGCAGGGTTCACCCATAAGGAATCATCACCAGTTGAATACTAGCCCCAGCACCTGCCCGCGAGGCCGTTTCTTTCTTTGGATGCAGTGCACCTTGTGTTTTTATCTGCCCGTGCGCTGATTTACTTTTGCATGTCCTGGGTGATATTGCGAGCGGGCCTCATTGTAATATGGCCAAGATGGACGTCAGATATCATGGCCGCCGCTGCGCGAATTGCTCTTCCAGGGCCACGCGGCGGAGGGTCGACGTGGGTTCCCATTGAATAAAACAACGGACCAGGAGAGGAAACAAAGGAAGGTCCTATGTATATATCGATATATATATATATATGTATTAGATTCTCGTTTTCGGAGACGAATACTGAATACGTTTTCGTTTCGTTTAACCAGTTGTACTAGTGAAAATTTAACAGAAGCCATTTGTTCATTGTTTAAAGCAGATTTTGTTTGTTGTAAATATTCGTTCTTGTTCAGAAAAGTTAGTCTTCAACTAGGCGCCGCCGTGGGATCCGGTGACCTCGTCCCCGCGCTAGGGCGCACGGCCACAATGGCAGTGGGCTCAACTGGGGATGGGGCAAAGATGTGCTCGATGAGTGAACGGCGCGGAGATAATTGACAGCTTCACCCACGTTCGTAGACAGGAGTGAATGCGCGGTCTGCGCAGCTCCGTTGCAGGCGTGCTCTACGCGAGGGTGCGGATCGAGACATACTTTTCCAAATGAGTTCCAAATTGCTTTGAAGAGGGATGGGGCCTCCGATTTCATTGGCTGGATCACACTGCGCGGGGATCTCACGTGGGGGCAGCCGCGAGAGATGACGAACGGGGCCGGCCACAATCAGCACCGACGCGGGCACAGCAGTGGCAGACCGCGCGGCCAGCAGGCAGGGCGCAGCGACGAGGAGACGAGGCACGACAACATCGACACACACACACACACATAAACACACACACACGCACGCACGCATGCACGCACGCACGCACGCACGCACACACACGTGCACACACATGCACACACACACACACGTGACTCCCCCTCATCCACTGCAGTCGGCATTGCTTGCCGTGGCGTGCAGCCTGGTATGAGACAGTGCGAGGACACGTTGTCTCCGATATGGGCGGGGAACGGACACGAACACACACAGGCACACACCACCTGGTTGGTTGACCAGCCAACGCTCGTGGACACCACCGCCGCCCCGCTCCCACCCAGGAAGTACACGAAGTACGTGGGCTACTGGGCGACTGGGGGGGGCGGGGACACCGAAGCGCCGCTCCTGTGCCCGCCGCCTCCAGCTGCCTCGCGGCCGCGCGCCTGTTTCCCGGGGCGGGGGGCGGGGGGAATGAGCAAAGAGGGAGGGTTGGGACGTGAGGGGACGAGGAACAGGAGGATACTTAGAGAGCGAGGAGGATGAGAGGGATAGGGAAGGAGGAGAGCGAGGAGCAGGAAGATATGGGGGAGGGCGAGGAGGGGGATGGGGAAAGGAGGAGGAGGCGGAGGAGGAGGATGAGGAGGAGGAGAAGGAATAGTAGGAAGAGGAGGATAGGGGGAATGAGAGGAGGGGGATGGGGAAGGAGGACGAGGAGTAGGAGGATGAGGAGGAGGATGAGGAGGAGGAGAAGGAATAGTAGGAGGAGGAGGAGGGAGGAAGGAGGAAGGAGGAAGAAGGATGTTGGGGGGAGGGGCAGGAGGGATGGGAAATAATGCGGGAAGGAGGGGTCACCACCACCTCCCCTTCCCCCTTGTCGAACGGACGCAATCCGCTCGTCTGTCTCACGCTGCGGCGCAGCCTTGTTGCGGAAATGCGCAGCGCTCGAGGTCGGAGTCGTCATGTTCGCTGTTGCGGTGGAAGTTTTCCCAGCAATTCTTGCGCTTGCGGGCTCGACTTTCGTATCCGTACGTGTTTGGACGGTTTTGCGTTGCGTTCGCCTGGTGGGCGGCCGGCCGTGGTCGTCTCGTGTGCGCCCCCTGCGCTGGATGGTTTTTCCGGGTTTTCGCTTCGTGGGTGCCCGTGAGTTCGTGGTGCCCCCCCCCGTCGAGCTGGCTGGGTTTTCTGGGTTCTCGCCTGGTGGGCTCCGTGGGCGCCTCGTGGACGCCCCGTGCTCTGGCTGTTTTTGTGTATGGTTTCTCTTGGCGGGCGCCGTGGGCGCCTGAGCGCCCAGCCCTTAAAGGCGAAATGTGGGTGTGAGATCCCTTTCCGATCGGCAAGGATGCTATTTTGATTGCGCCGATGATGGATTTCAACGCGCTGAAGACCGCTTGCCTCGCGCTCCTTGCCATCGACCCCCTGACGACAGGCCGTCGTGCGTGTTTTCCTCTGCTCGCGCACCTGTGTCATCTCTGCGGACCCATCGGCAGAGCGCGCACGCGAGCGCCGAGCCAACTCGAAGTTCTTACCGCGCGATCGAACTTATTTGCGCGAGAGCGCGCAATTATTTCCCGCACGAGCACGAAACTATCCGGCTCCGCTGCCGCGCGATTCCGCCACCGCGCTCGGGCGGGCGCTGGGGGTAGGGCCAGGGGGGTCTGGGGGGCGGGGGGGGGGCGACATGCCGCAGAATCCAGCTACCAGTACTTTCTCATTTTTGGAGCAACTGTTCCGTCGGAAGGCGCAACAGAAACGGGCGTTTGGTCTTGGCATCGCTCGGATGTGTGCCTTTTTTTTCTCAGTGAGGACCATCGATGCGCATCCTGGATCATCCCGCGGACACAAACAAACGCACGAAACCGAATAATGCACAAGGAGTGGAGGTCCGAGCGATGGCAAGTGGTGGATTTCAGAAATGTGTGCTGTAGTCGATGCGCGAAACTGGTCGCTCGAGATTTGTTGCACCGATTGCGGGCCCACAAATTGGGCGCCCGCGTGCGGGCCCGGGCGCTCACAATCGAGCCTGGGGAATCAATTTTGAGTTTTTTCGTGTGGCCAATCTGCGGCAGGTCTGGCGGCTGTGAAGTCGCCGTCGCCGCCTCGTCGCCGCCCGTCGTCTGGGCCTGACGGCGGTCTGGCGGCTATATTGTCGCCGTCGTTGCCCTGTCGCCGCCTAAATCGCACAACGTATACTCTCTTTTCCAAAGCGAAAGTAGACTCTACCCCCCGCCCCCCCCAGGATTAACTACCCCTTCTTCGTACTGTAACTTGCAGGTGATTCTGCCCCATCGTCGATTTCAGATGTGAACTCATACCATCCCAGCCCACTTGGTATCGACCCCCCCCCGCCATCCTCTGCCAACATTTCTCTGCGCGCACACTCGTTTATCAAAGATCATTAGTTTTCGAGAATCCGTGGCTAAGCAAAGGACGAAGAGCACACGCGCGCGTCGTCGCGCGCGCATGCCGAAATCTTCGAAAATTCGGAACGATGTCAAAACCGAGTGTGAAAGCAGCATGTAAGAAAACACATTGTTTCGTAACAAGGATGTTCCCTCAAAAGCTTGCGCGCGCTCGACCCAGGATCGAGGCTCGATCCTCGATCCTCGACCCAGGATCGAGGCTCGATCCTCAGAGCCGGACCCGGGACCCTCGCCTTCGGCAAGGCGCCGCCCGATCCGACCGTGTCGACCCGACATCGACCTTCGGCAGGCCCGATCATATTCGATTCCGGTGTTCCAGCGGTCCGATGCGATGCCGATGTTCGCGCGGCGTTGCTGCGCATCTTGGCGCGGCGGGTCCGATTCGATCTCAGTTCTTTGTCGGTGTATCTCGGAGGAGGAAAAGGTATCCAAACCTCTACCCCCTCGCCAGTTTTCCCGTTGTTGGGCCTCCTTGGAGGCCCTCGTCGCCACCGCTGGATTCGCCTCGAGATCCTGGTCAGAACGCACCCTGGGAGAGACCCGGGGAGTTGCGGTATCGGTACCTCTTGGTTTCCCCAGCTTATCCCGATCCGACGTACATCTCGGGTCGGTATGATGTCCCGACTCGATGTTGATGGTTCCTGCCTCAAGGGTGTCCGAGACTCGGTCGGTTCGCTTTCTTCGTAGACGGTTGCCTTCGCTCGTGCCGGTTCAGTCGGCTGCTGCACCGCCGCGCCCTTCTGGGCTGCGCTGGGTCCATCGGCTTCGGTCGGCTTCGGTTTCACCGTCGGTTCGGTCGGTCCTGGAGTGTGGTTGTCGCCGTGGACGTCGGTGCTCCTGCCCTTCTGCTTCTGCTCCTCCTCTCCTTGCCTGCCTCGGCCCGCAGCCGTAGCCAGACCATATTGCAGATCTCGGGGGCAACGATAGGGGGAGATATGCATGGGGGGGGTGCATCGGCCCCCAATCGCCCACTGATCGCCGATAGGGGCCCCATAGCCCCTGCACAGGAAGGTGCGGATTCACTATCGGGAGCCTATCGCCGATCTATCGGCGATGTATCCATCGCTGCTCCTGAAGATCCCCCCAGAGGTCGGCCGCACTTTTGGTGTGCAGTGCGTGCTCACCATCGTGAGTCCCTGCGCCAGCTCCTCCGCCTACCGGATCCTACTTCCGCGGCCCCTGCCGCGTACAGTCGGCGCGCCGAAGCCGAGATCACCCTGCCAGCAGGCGCCCGCGAACGCTCTTCCTAGATCGCCCCCAGGCGCCCCGGGAGCCCACAGAATCGGCTGGAGCCCCAGGGGGAGGTTGGGGGTGGACGACGACGCTGCCCCCAGCCCGAAGGCAGCACAACACACTCTCCGCCTCCCCCCCACGCCACCCCTCGTGGCGCGCTCCCACAGTCAAAATCCACAGCAGGGAGGACGCGCTGCTTCAGCAACGTCCCTGCTTCTTGGGCCCACCCCGGGCCAATGCTCGCGTCGAGGGGGCCCAGATTCCTGACAACGGAGTTCAAGAGGCTTGCGCCATTCCGCCGATCCCCGAGGGAAGCGTCGACAGACTGTGTGGAAGGAAAGCAAGAGACGAGAAGGGCGTGGAGGAGGAGGAAGGGGGCGAGGAGCAGGAAGGGCCTCTCGGGGCATCTGGAGGGTTGGGGGTTGCCTGGGGACCTCTTGGGCGCCTCTTGAGAGCCTCTGGGAGAGCTCTCGGGGGCCTCTGGGGGCCCCTTGGGGCAGCAAGATCTCTCATCGCACGCGCCTGCTGCAGCGGAGCCCCCCCCCCCTCCCCTCCCTCCGCCCGCGCGGCGGCGCACCCGAGGAGCGGGGCGCCCCGCCTGCCCTGCAGGCGCCGCCTCGCTCGACGCCAGTGCCCTTCTGATGCGCCTCCTGCCCTGGGCTCCGGGCCTCGGAAGAGATGACAGTCAACCCGCACGAGAAGGACGGGCAGCATTCCCGAGGGTACCCTCTGCATCTTTGCCTCCTCGGTCAATCCTCGTCCAGTTTCGTTCGCCGCGCCCCGCTCGCAAAGTGTCGACAAGGCCTTCCAAGGCCCTTGCATCCTTACCGCGCATCCTTATTAGACGGGTTGACTGTAGCGGACACTCATGCCACATTCATCTGTCAGTGCACCCCCAATGATCAATGTTGACGGTGGGCTGCATGAGTCGCACCTCGACGGCGGTCCTCCCCGCGTCTGCCAACCTTGAGCTTGGGGGAGAGGGGGAGTGCCCGCTCACTGTCTCCCTCGACCCTCCTGGCACTGCACTCGTGTCTACACTGGACGTTTTCGCCCAGCGTCGGGCCCCGGGACCCTCACAGATAGATCTGGCCCGGAAAACGACGCGCAGAAAGGTGTGGGGGTGTTGGCAGAGGGATGAGCCCAGGAGGCTTCCGACCCTGGGGGGACTCCTTACCTCATGCGGGCGGCAGTGGTATCCATGGACAGTCCACGATTGGAGCCCCACTGGCTTCCAAACCCTGGATTCCTTGTTTAATGGTTCCTTGTCCAATGCCCTCACCGTGGGGTCCGGGGCTCCGGTGGCGAGTGTCTGCGACGTTGCAAACCACTGCAGCGTCACCTCCGAGGGCGCCCTCGCAGAAGGCTGCCCCCGTCGCCCCGCAGCTGGCCGAGACCCGCTCAGCAACGGGTCGCTGGACCTTTCGCGGAGTGCATCCTGGCCAGCTTCCCGTTGGGGGGGAGATAGGAGAGGGCTTCTTTCCCCTCTGGGCCATAGCGCGCGTAACCTACACGGCCACCCTTCGGGTGATGAGGAGGTTGAGGGTGGAGGAGGGTAAAGGACCAACTGCTGGCAAATGCGATGGGTGTGATGATGACGAGACTGGTGACGCGCCCTCGAGTTAGCGACGACGCGCGATGACGATGTTGCGCTGCGATGTAATGTCACTAGCGTCCCCGCTTTTTATCTCACCGCCAATGTCACAATCAACCTCAGTGTCGATCTGGCTATATCCCATTTTAGCGATCTCATTTTCGATTTCACTATCGACTTCACTATCGCCACAACAGCGGGACACCCCCGGCCACCGCGCGCCCACCGCCGTCGGAACAACGACGGGACACCAACGAGACACCACAGGACACCACGGCGGGACCCGCCGGGCCGCCGCGCGCCCCCCAGGGGGCGGAGGGTCGGTCCACTGCATCCGGATCGCCCCAGCGACGGCGGGGTCATTCCTCACGCGCGCCCACGCAGCTTCGCCTCGCCCGCACGCGCGACGCGAGCACGAACCGAAACCGATTTCTCGTTGGGGGGCTCTCCGTCCCACTGCGATCTCCCCCCCCCAACCTTTGGTGCGCTCCCTGCCCCCCCCCATCCCCCCCACCCACATCGTATCGCTCCCCCCCCCTTCCCCAGTGCGTCCCCTGCACTGCCGCAGTGCGTCCAGCACCACTGTCTGTTGTGCCAGACCCACGCGGCGGGTGCCCGTTGTCGCCGGGACTACGCCTCCTGTGGGACCCCCTTCCTGCCAAGTCGACTGACGAATCCGCCCGTGGGGCCGCCTTCGGTGTCTTCTCGAGAGGGTGCTACAGCCGCAGTTCTTGCGGGTCTTCGCTTGCGGGGTGTGGTCCCCAGGGCGTTTCCACCAGACGGGGTTTTGCTAAAGGGGTCCCTGTCCACCCTGGATCCCCAGCCGCGACGAGGAACCTCCAGAAGCGCACGGAACCTCCAGGCGACGACGACGCCGACGACGGCGCCGATATTTCAAGTCTTCTGGGCCCCAGACTTCTCGACCCTTCTCTCAGGACTGGCGTCTCGTACCGAGTCGTTTTTGATGGCCCCAGGGTTCGAAAGCGGCCTCCGGGGGCTGAAAATGCTCAAAAACCGCAGGCTCGATATTTCCGAAGTTCTGGACCCCAAGAATTGGCGTTCAGAAAAAATTGCCACATTACGAGAAATCCAAAGCTGGAGCCCTAGACTCAATTTTTCTGCGGCCTTCTCCGAGCCAGATCGATCTGTGATGTTCCCGGTGCTCGACACCGGCCGAAAATACCCAGTGTGAAAAAAGTTCACGCCCGGCTCTCAGCGCCCGAGGCGAACGGCAAGCAGTCTGGCGCCGGCACCTACACCACCAAGGACGGCGGGACGAGGGCGGCGTCGCCGAGCCAGCGGCGAGAGGGCTGATGGCGTGCCCGAGCGCCGGGCCCGGCTGTGCACCACCCAAAAAGCAGCGGGGGGCGGGAGGGGGGGGTGCAGCAGGGCGGCCCGCCAAGAAGGCCGGAGGGCTGCTCTCGGTTGCCAGTCCCTGCAGGAGAGAAAACTGCATTCGCATAAGATTTCTGGGGTCCGCACAGATTTCTTCGATCCGCGCTGGGCCCCCCCTTGGCGGCGCCTCGGGCGCCGCCCTTGGCGCGCTCCGCGCGCCAGGGAGGAAGTCTTGCGCCCATCCAGGAAATTCGGGCTGACCTCCTAAAGCTTAGAGTCAACCCGCATAGTAAGGACGAGCGACTTTTCCTTCCCCTTCAGTCCATCCTTGGCCGCTTTCGCTGGCCGCGCCCCGCTTGCGACATGCCCACATGGCACTCCGAGGCCTCTGCATCCTTACGGTGGGGGCGTTCGTTAAGGAATGTGCGCAGGAGGCTACAAACCCTGGATGATTCCTTCTCTGATGAGGGCGGTGATGATATCCATGGCCGATGCACTGTTGGATTTCCACATGCTTCTGGACCCTGGACTCCTTATCCGAGGGTCACTTGTTCACTTCCCCTACCGTATCGTGCGTCCGTGTTATGCCGGTCGACTGTAGGGGCCGCTCCAGGGGGGTCTGGCCCTCGAGGAGCTGGACGGGTTGTGGCATCGCTTCCTCCACGGAGGGTGCGGAGGCCGGCGGAAGGAGGAGAGGGGGTCTTTTTGGGCCTCGCGTGCTGGGGGGACGGCAGACGGTGGGGCAGGGAGGGCTGCAGAAAAGTGGCCCTTTCGGGCCCAAAAGGGGGCCCTCAGGGCCCGAGAAGTGCACCTCTTCCCCCCTCCCCCTCCCGTGCCCAATTATCGCCCCCCTCCCCCACTAAGCGGCTGAGCGGCGCCCAATCCTTGCATCGTCTTGTCTCGGGTCTGCTCCTCACAGTTTCTGCGGCCGTGGCTGAAGGGTACCACAGCTGCGGCCGTGGCTGAAGGGTACCTTTTCACGTTTCTGCGTTTTCCCCCTCCCTGCAAAATCTCATCCTGTGCTGAGTGGTACTGCTCATGTTCCCGACCAGTCAGACGAGCCAGGGGAACCATACTTCTTAGGGCAGCCGAAATACCCAAACGAACCATACCAAAGCGGAGGAGCCAACCCATGTGAGGCAGATAACACATCCTGTATAAAGAATTGGTAGACCAAGGACACCAGCCAATCGAATAAACTGCATCAACCAGACAAAGGGCGAGCAGAAGAAAGGACGCCGACACACCTGGCGAAGGTTTGACCAGGCAGACAGACCAGGAGTTGCAAGTAGGTCTTACACATAAAACAAGCCAATTAGACCAACCAGTCGGATCAGCAGAGCGAAAACAATACCCAGGTGAAACAGACCAACCAGATCAACCAGAACAAACTGCGCAGCCAGACCAAGACATTCCATGTTTTGGCGTGATATTGAAAATGATAACGGTGCTGCTGCTGATGATGGCGATGATGATGTTGATGGTTGGTTGATGATGATGATGATGATGATGATGATGATGATGTTGATGCTGATGATCATGATGATGACGATGATGGTGAGCAGGAGGAGGATGAGGGGAGGACTGGTGATGATGATGATGATGATGATGATGATGATGATGGTGGTGGTGGTGGTGGTAATGCTGCTTATGGCGATGGTGATGTTGATGAGTATGCTGACGATGATGCTGATGCTGATGCTCATGGTGTTGGTGATGGTCATGATGATGAGGAGGATGAGGATGAGGATGAGGACGAGGCCGAGGTCAAGGGTGGGGATACCGACGCTGATGACGATGACGATGACGAAGACGATGACAATGACGATGCCGATACCGATGACGATGGTGGTGATGAGGATGATGATGACGATGCTGATGCTGATGCTGGTGCTGCTGCTGCTGATGATGACGATGATGATGATGATGATGATGATGATACTCCTGATGGTGATGGTGATGCTGATGGTGACGGTGGTGGTGGTGATGCTACTGCTGATGATGATGCTGATGGCGGTTGTGGTGGTGGTGCTGATGATGCTGATGCTGATGCTGATGCTGATGACGATGATGATGACGATGACGATGACGATGACGATGGTGATGCTGATGAGGATGATGATGCTGATGATGCTGATGACGATGATGATGAGGATGATGATGACGACGATGATGATGATGAGGATGATGATGATGATGCTGATGATGATGATTATTATGATGATGATGATGATGATGATGATGATGATGATGATGATGATGATGATGATGATGATGATGATGATGATGACGATGATGCTGATGCTGATGCTGATAGTGGTGATGATGATGGTGGTGGTGGTGGCGATGGTGATGGTGATGGTGATTGTGATGCTGGGGAGGAGGAAATGGAGGAGGAGAGGAGGAGGGGGAGTAGCAGGAGCAGGAGCAGGAGCAGGAGGAGGAGGAGGAGCAGGAGGAGGAGGAGGAGGAGGAGGAGGAGAAGGAGAAGGACGGGTCGCCTAGGCCCTTCGGAGAAACCCTCCACCGAGGTCCCCGTGATCCTCCAGGCGGTGGTCATGTATAAATTCCCGCCTCGGACCCTCGGCCAACGCGCATGCGAGCAGCACGACGCCAAGCACGCGCCGCCGCGTCGCGGGCGCCGCCGCGGCGCCCGCCGAGCGCGCCGCGAGCACGGCCGCGGAGGAGGAGGAGGAGGAGGAGGAGGAGGAGGAGGAGGAGGAGGAGGAGGAGGAGGGAGGAGGAGGAGGAGGAGGAGGAGGAGGAGAGGAGGGGGAGGAGGAGGAGGGAGGAGAAGGAGAAGGAGAACGACGAGGACGAGGAGGAGGAGGAGGAGGAGGAGGAGGAGAAAGCAATACTGAAAGACGCAAAGAGGGGAAATGAGCGGGAGTGCAGACGAGGAGGGAGGGCAGGAGGGGAGGGCAGCGTTTTCTTGCCTGCGGCTCCTCCTGGCGGAGCCGCTTTGGCCCACAGGAGCCCGGCTCAGGCAGCTCCCGTCTTTGTCTTCGTCTCGTCCGGTGATCTGGCGCCGCGAGAAATACGTACCGACCAGGGCCTTTCTTTACCGCCTCTCCGCACCGCCTCTCTCGAGCGGGGTCGGAGGTCTGGGGATGGGCCCCGAGGCTTCTCCTCGCCTTCGGGCTCCTGGGAAGAGGAGGAGGAGGAGGAGGAGGAGGAGGAGGAGGAGGAGGAGGGGGAGGAGGAGGGGGAGGAGGACAACAGAGCGGGGCCCAGCCACAGAGCAGACAGGCCCGTCCTCGGCACGAGGGGAAGTGGTCCTCGGGTAGCCGGCTCCTGGACCCCGTGGGGCTCGGCTCTGGGGCCCAGCTCTTCGCCCAGGGTCGTTCCCTGTCGGTCCTCCTCCTTCTCCTCCTCCTTGTCCTCCTCCTCCTCTCCCTCTCCTTCTCCTCTCTCCACCTCCTCCTCCTCCGCACAGGGACCTCCTCCTCCTCCTCCTCCTCCTCCTCCTCCTCCTCCCTCCTCTCCTTCTCTTTCCCTCCTCCTTATTTACGTGGGACCGACCTGAGCGTGAACGCTGTGTCGTTTGTCCTCCTCCTCCTCCTCCTCCTCCTCCTCCTCCTCCTCCTCCTCCTCCTCCCCCTCCTCTTCCCAGGATCCCGAAGGCGAGGAGAAGCCTCGGGGCCCATCCCCAGACCTTCGACGCCGTGGTGTTTCCAAGGCGCGGCCCCCCAAAGTCCGAACCCCTCTCCCCGGTGCCGGTGCTGCACCGAGCGGGCGAGCGGAAGCCGATCATCCAGAAGGTACGCGTGGGCACGGTGAGTTGAGGCATTGGCAGCCCATGGAAAAGACCATTTCGATCGAACAGGGAGGATGAGGAGGAGGAATTCTGAGGAGGAGGAGGAGGAGGAGGAGGAGGAGGAGGAGGAGGAGGAATTCTGAGGAGGAGGAGGAGGAGGAGGGGGAGGAGGAGGAGGAGGAGGAGGAGGAGGAGGAGGAGGAGGAGGAGGAGGAGGAGGAGGAGAGGGGAGAGAGCAAGGCGAGGGCGACGAAGACAGAAGGGGCAAACACTGAGTGAACATCCCGGCTCTCGGTTTGCTCAATACCCCGAGGCCTGGTTGCTCTGTTTGCTAAATGCCCCAGGGGCCCAGGCGTCACGGCGTCACGGGCCAGGGCCGTTTTCCCCCTTGCCGGGTCTTTTTGACCCCCGACGGCGCGAAGAAGTTGAAGCATCGTAAAGAATCAGGACCAGGGCCACAGACCCCGCCTTCCCGCGCGATTTGTCGAACGGGAGCGAGCCACGAGGGCCCCGGGGCCCGACCATGGGCGAAAACGACCAGTGTGAAGCACTGCCGGGATCTCAGGGGAAGACGATGTGGAGGTCTGGGGCTCTTCCGTGGCGCTGGCATCTGGGGGCTCGCGCACCCCCTGACGAGATGCTCATGGCGTCGGCTCCGGCGCAGCAGCCGGCAATGGGCGCCCTGGGCCGCGCTGCGGCGGCGGCCAGGCGCGCGCTGCGCCCTCTCGGGGGGGGTCGACGCCGACGCTCGACAATTTCGACGGCGGGGCGACGACGCCACCGCCGACGAAGACGCCAAGACTGCCGACACCGCCGCCCGTGAAGACGCCGACGCCGACGCCGCCGACGACGACGGCGACGATGAAGACGCCGTCGACGACGATGCCGTCGACAGGTACGCCGACGATGACGACGAAAATGTCTTCGACGGCGAAGCCGAGGACGACGAATGGAGCTCTGTGGGATTCGACACTGACGCTGCCTCGATCCGTTCTGCAGAGGCCACGACGTTTTCCAGGAGGCCCCCCTTCCAAAAAACAGATCGTGTCTAAATGCCTCGATCCTAAATCCTCGACCCTTCCTGAGATCCGACACCGAGAACAAGAACACATCATCGTGAAAAAGCACGGGGTGAGCCTTCGACCGCATCTTCTCTGCGGCACCCCTCGAGCCCCACCGATGTGTCGGGATCCTGGGCCCGAAGCGCGGAGTTTTTCCCCCCCGCCCGTGTGAGGGCATTGCGACGTCCACATGGCACTGGAAACCAGGAGTTTGCAGACCAGGTCTTAACCAGACCCAGCTGGAGAACACGGGTGCAACACAGGACCAGCCGACCAGCGGCAGCAGTTTCCTCTGGCTTGCGAGCGTCCCGGCTTATCAGAGGTCACAGTTCACGTGGCCTTGCGCGTCTGGCCCGATCAAGGCACGGTCGGCGCCGACGACGACGCCACGGTGGCCGCCGCCAACAGTGGCGGCCAAGCTCATGTCAAAACTGGCCTCTGGACCCCTCGTGGGGCCAATCCTGGCCAGTATTTCGAGCTGCGCCCAGCCGTGGCGACGAGAGCCTGCAGAAACGCGCGAAATCATCCGAGCCGATGGCGACGACGGCGCCAAAGACGGCGCCGCCGCGGCCGCCGCCGCCGACGGCGACGGCAGGGGCTTGCCCACGCGCGAGGCGACGACCCAGATAATTATCCGATTTCTGGATTTTTCCCGTGCGGCTTTCCACCCTGGGTCGGCTTGTGACGGTCCCGAAGCCCTGCGAGGGCCCCCCGAGGCCGAATCATCGGCATTGTAAGGGGTATTTACCCATTAACGGGTACTTTGGAAAGTTGCCGAAAGTTGCCGCTTTGGGGCCTCTTTCTGGCATTGCCGCGTTGCCCACATCGGAGAGGGCTGGGTTCGCGGGGTCACCGGCCAAAGTACCCGTCAGTGGAGTCCCCGTTAGAGGGGCGCTGACCGAAAACAGCAAGAACCACCCGTCACGTTTGCTTCACGGCGCGAGGGGGTTTGGCGCCGACGATGGCGGCGCCAGGGGCGCGGTGGGCTCGGCGGGGCCGCCCGCGGGCGCCGCCCTGCGACGCGCGGCGTCCGCGGCCGTGCGCGCGGCGCGCTCGGCGGGCGCCGCGGCGGCGCCCGCGCCGCGGCGGCGCGTGCTTGGCGTCGTGCTGCTCGCGTGCGCGGTGGCCGAGGGTCCGAGGCCGGAATTTATACATGACCACCGCCTGGAGGATCACGGGGACCGCGGTGGAGGGTTTCTCCGAAGGGCTTAGGCGACGCGGAATCCCACAATTATTTGGAGTCTGGCAGGCGATCTCTTGCGCAGCCTCGGTTGTAAAGACAGGCCCAGAGAAATTTGCTCTTGAGTTTTTGTGTTCAACTGGGACTTGCCGCCTCCTCCAGGCGCATCATCATCATCATCATCATCATCATCATCATCATCATCATCATCATCATCATCATCATCATCATCATCATCATCCTCCTTCTCCTCCTCCCCCTCCTCCTCCTCCTGCTCCTCCTGCTCCTCATCCTCATCCTCATCCTCATCCTCCTCATCCTCATCCTCATCCTCATCCATCTCCTCCTCCTCCCCCTCCTCCCCCTCCCCCCCCATTTCCTCCTCCTCCTCCTCCTCCTCCTCTTCTTCCTCGGGTCACCTACGGCCCCGGGGAAAACCGTGCAGACCTCGGCGGGCGCTGGATATGGATATTTGGGCCCCTGGGGGCCAAAATATATCCATATCCGCCGCCCGCTGGGGCATCAGGACGTCGGTTCCCAGGCGGTGGATGTGCAGAAATCCCCGCCTCGCAAAGGGGGACTGCTTCGACAGCAAATTTTGGGAACCCTGTGTGCCCTCGCAGTTCCGTCTTTCGCGTCGACGAGCGTCTGGTAATGGATGAACTTGCGCCGATGTAGCGTCGATGAGCGTCGATTTAGCGTCGATTCAGCGACGATGAGCGTCGATCCGCAGCAGCCAGGAAGATGGTACGTGCGGCTCCCATGCGTTGCCACAGAAGGCTGCGGCCAGGGGGCGGGGCACCTCGAGCGACAAGCGAGCGTGTCACGAGCAACGCTTCGAGGTTCGAGGTTCGAGGGTTTCGCACGCCTGCGTGGGCCTTAGGCGGATTTCCAGCCCCAGGATGCTCTCCAGCGGCTACGCCTCGCCGCGAGCACTCTGGGCCCGCGCGCGCGTCTGCAGCGCCCTCCTCCCCCCCGGGCTAGCCACCGCTGGCTGCCTCCCCAGACAGCCGATGCCTGTTCTATTTCAATGTAGCTTGCGCGATGCTCGTGGACGGTGGCGTGGCGGCGGGGAAAATGGCCCACTGGGAGGTCCCCGAAAGTCCCGACCCGTTCCCCAGAGCCCGCTTTCCACTCCGTTTGGATTTTTGGTTGGTCTCCGCGGGCCTTGCGAGGGCCCGCGGAGGCCGAAAACGGGAAAAAAACGTCCCTCATGGTCTTTGGTGTGAAGGCCCTACGGCCGGAGCCTCCGACCCAGAAGGACGACGGCGGCCACGACGACGACCATGGCCTCCGCGGGCCGGGTGATGGCCCGCGGAGGCCGAAAACGGCGAGAGGCGGTGCGGGGTGGTCCGCCGGCGGCGCTCGCAAGGGGTTGGTCCGCCAGCGTGGCGGTCTCGTGAGAGGGCGGGGGAGCGTCTTCTCGGCGTCACCCCAACATGTTTCTACCATATTCGGAGGTTGATAGACCTCCTACCCTGACACGTCGATTAGCGAATTGGCCGTTTTCGGTTCGCGACAGGGTGTCGCGGCCGTCATTTTTGCGGGTCCAGGTCCGTCGGTTTCGGTCTTGGGCCGTTTTCACTTAAAAGGTGGTTTGCTAAAGAGCGGCTTGTCCACAGCCGATATATGCGCGTGGCCCCCCCAGGGGCGACGCGCGCACCGAGAAATCTTATAGCATATGCGTCGTGGCGGGCGCTCTCTGGCCACACCGCTCGGGAAACGATATGCTGCAAGATGGGTATACTGTATGTTCGAGTCGGACGCGCGCCTCCAAGGAGGAGATGTAGTATTAGCGTGTCTCTGTGCGTCCCATCTGACCCCTCCTTGAAATCAGAAACGCAAGTTTTGAGTGCTGCTCGGCGCGCGACCCGCGGCCCGCGGGGGCGGGTTGCTGTGTCTGCGGTCGGAGATTGGGGGGTCCCAGGGGCGCCGCCACGTCGCGGGAAAAATCAGCGTTTGATTTCGAGGAGGGATGTCTTCTCTATCGTGGATCATCCTACGTATCTACGGGGAATGGAGGTCCGAGCGATGGCAGGTTCTTAGAAGTTTCCTGGCAGCCTCCAAGCCCTTCCAAGAAGGCTCCTGTCTCCTACGAAGCCCCCCGCCTTCGCAGAAGGCTTTCCCTAAACTCACGGCGTCATGGTGTTGTTCACCGAATCCGCCTCATGTTGGTCTCGACCCCTTCCCTGGGACGGGCTTTGCATCCCGAGCTCAGCTGCCCAGACACGCCCGTGTTGAAACGCACCACGTGCCGTGTTCAAAATATCCGTGTCGAGACGTTGTGTGTTGGCTCAGCGTATTGGCCCACGTATTGACGAACGTATCGCGTCATACCTCGTGGTGCGTGTTGCGTATCGGGACAGCTGAGATCCCGAGTCGCATTTGACGGCCCCGGGGCCCGGCGAGGGCCCCCGGCGGCTGAAGACAGCAGAGAGCAGTCCGCCGTGATCCTGTCACGACGCTGGGGGGCCTCGGCTGTGCGCCCCGCCGACGTCTGGGCCCGCGCGCTGCCCCCCCCGAGGTGGTGGCTGGCCGCCCCGTGTGGCCCCGACCGCGCAGCACCACCACGCCGGCCTTCGGGGGCCGAGCTGCCAGTGGCGCCCGGGCCTCGGCATCGCCGTGCCCACGCCTGGAGGCGGGCCGGGGTCTCCCCGGGGACAGCCCCCGACGGTGCGAGGCCGTGCGCCGCGGCGCCTCTGCTGCCGGGAAGCTGGGTACACGGGAGGCGTTCCAGGACGGGCCTCGCCTTCGAGGATGGGAGCTGCCATCTCTTCCGCCGGCGGACGGCGGCGGAAGGCCGGCAGAAGCCGGCGGAAGCAAAAGTCGATCTCCCAAGAGATGGACACGTTTTTTGGGTTCAGGGTTCCAGGAATCGGTCACATGACGTGGCTGGTCTGGGCGAGAGCTGGATGCTCTTTGTAAGTCCGCGGGCGCCAAGTGGTCCACCGGGAGCGAACTGAGGCACGAAGGCAAAAGAGAACAGAGCGCGAGGGGGGAAGAGGTAGGAGCGCCAGCTCAGACCATGAAAGCCGGCGCGGGAATGCTGGGGAAAAAGAGCTGTATACACACGAAGCCACGTGTTTTTCCAGCCCTCGGTCTTCGTGTGGCCAGGCACGGTGGTCCTCCACATGTGTATCCAGCAAGTGGCCTCCAGAGATTCCACAAGTGAATCCTGCCATGCGTGTTTCCAGCTTCCTGGTGCATTTCTGCCTGCGGGGGCCGCTTCCGGGTCCCAGGGCCATCAGGAATGGATCCGGAACGAGAAACTACCGCTGGGGAAGGGGTCGGGAGCTCGGGGGCCGTGAACTGAAACATCGTATCGGAGCGTCGTCGTCCCAGGCAATGGGCAGCTTGATTGCGAAGGCCTTATGGCCGGTGCCGCCGACTCTGAAGGGGATCGACGACAACGGCAGCGGCGGCGGCGACGACGCTGACGCGGGTCAGAGTCCTCATGGATGTTTCTTGGGACGCGCTCGGGCCTCTGGAGGACAGTTTGGGGCTTCTTGGGCGCCTCTTAGGGGCCCCTTGGGAGCTTCCCGCGGCTTCCTGGAGGCCTCTTGGGGGCATCTTGGGGGCCTCTTGGGGCCTCTTTGGGGGCCGTATTGGGTCCCTCCTGGACCCTCGTGGGCCGTGTTTGGGCGATCTGGGGGGGCCTATTGGGCCGTCTTGGAGCGTGGGGAAGCGGAAGAGGCCAGAACGCCGAAATGCTTCACAAACCTATTGGGGCGTGTTGCAGGGCTTTTGGGCCGTCTGGAGGCCGTCAATGCGTCCTGAACATATCGTTTTGCGATTCGGGGCCCTCTTGGACCGTCTTGGGGCCTCTTGGGGCACTCTTAGCCCGTCTTGTGACTTTTTGGGGCCCCTGGACCCCCTGGGGGGCAGACGTATCTGACCCTCCCGGTGCCCCTCCCCCTCCCGGGGGGGGGGGGATCAACGCGAAGACGACGTTGCTCAGCTTCGCTTTGGCTGGCGCGCTTGAGGAGGGCGGCCTAGGGAAGGGGGGGGGGTAGCGGCGACGGGCCCAGCGCTTGAGGAGGAGGGCCCGGGGAAAGGGGGAGCAGGGAGCGGCGACGGGCTCCGGGAGAGGGGGGGCGCACGGGAAGGCGACGACAGAGACGACGACCAACGAACGACGGAGACGACGACTCGAACGAACAAGCGCCTCGCACACGCCGACAGGGTCGGCGGATTTGGCCCCGATGGATATATTCAAGTTGCTTACGCCATTCCGCCAACCCCAGGGCCCCAAGAAGGAGTCAGGGCCTGCGCCGACTGTGTCAGTTATGTAGTGGCCTTCGGCCCAGCCCGCCGATGTGCCTGGGCTGTGGGTCAGGGACCTTTGGGACAAATCTGAGAGTCTCTTCAGATGCCTCTCAGAGGCCTCCTGGAGGGCTCTCGGGTGCATTTGGGAGGCCTTTTTGGGTATCCTTTTGGGGGCCTCTTGGGGCTTCTTGGGGGCTTTTTGGAAGCTTCTTGGGGCCTCTGACCTCTGGCCTCTGGTGAGCTCTTAGGGGCCATCTTGGGTGGAACGGCTCGAAATTTCAGTTCGTATTCCCCCTCTTGGGCTATCTTGGGGCCCTCCTTGGGCTCTCTTGTGCCGTCTTCGGGGCCCCTGAGGCCGTCTCAGGGCCCTCTTGGGCCGTCTTGGGGCCCTCTTGGGGGCCTCATTGGCCGTCTTGTGACGATCTTGGGGGTCCAGTGGGCAGTCTTAGAAGGCATCAAGACGAAAAGGCGCGTCTGCTAAGAGCGTGCGTTTCGTAGCAGGAATGAAGCGATTGTTGCCTCTCGGGGCCTCTCGGCGGTCCTCTTGGAACACTTGTTGGGCCCTCTTGAGGGCGCGGACCGTCAGAGGTAGCCCGCGTCAAACTTCAGATTGGGCCTCGTCGTTTTTGAATGGACCCCGTCAGGCCAACCCGAGTCCCCCGTGCCCGAGTCTTACGTCTCCATGACTGTGGGCCGTCTCTGCGCTCTCTTCGACTGCACTGCTGTCTTGGCGCTCTGTCTGGGCGGCCCTCTCTTGGGGCCATTTGGGAGGCTCCAGAGGCCCCGGGGGTGCGTTGACGAGCCAGTCCCCCCGCCCCCCCGACCTCCCTTTCAAGCGGCGTCTTGGACCCCAGGGGAAGGGGGAAGGGTCAAGCTGTGGCGAAGCGTCCTGGCTCGCCTACAGGCCCACCAAACAATGTTCTAAAAATCCGTTGGGTCTGCACGAAATGGTCTTAGTAGAACGTTTCTGGCTGAGACTTTCTTGTTTTAACACGTCGGGTTATGTTCTAAGAACTCTGTTTTTGTTCTTAGGACAGTTCTGGGTCCTAAGAACAGTTTGTGGTAGGCCTATAGGAATGTCGGGACGGTCGGTCCCTGCTCACAAGGGGGAAGGGGACAGCCAAATGTCTCATACGCACTGTCACGTCCTGCAAGCGGGGGTCTTCAGATTCTGACACCTTCCCAAAGGGGTGACTTTCGTCGTTTCTAATTTTCTGGCCCTGGTGCCCAGCATCGGATTTTACACGGAGGCCCAAAACGGTCCCAAACTTGCCGTTTCGATTTGATATTGTTTTTTATTCGTTGAACCGGTACGGTCCGTTACGGGGGGGTCGCCGCCCCCCCCCTCTCCGCAACAGTAATGAACGTACGGGAAGGGTGTCCCAGCCCCCCCACAAGTGTGGCGCCGTGCACATGGGCATGGTGTGGTGCTGACAGGCACCGGAGAGCCTTCAGACGCCTCGAGAGGCGGCCGTCGACGTCCGACGATGAAGCAGCAAGCTTGCCAGGGCTTGAATGATTTTGGGGCCACCAGGTCCCCGCCTGTGCGTAGCGCCTCGCTTGCTTGCAGCACCGCTGTGCACGCCGCGCCTCTGGCGAGTCATAGGCCCCCGTCTAGCGACAGGTTGAGCACTGCACGAAGGGAAGACATTCTTACAGATAAATTTTAAACCCAGTCTTGACTCCTGCAGTCCTCAGGAGGCCCGCGAAGGCCGGGTTCCTATCCAGACGATTTCTGCAGGCCAGTCCCCATCGAGACAATTTTTGCTTCGCGCTTGAGCGCTTGTGTGCTTGGAGCGGACAGGCCAAACCATGTTAATCAAGTCTTCACCAACTCCAGATTCAGAGACTCAACGTCGTTGAAATAATAAACCTTGGTCGCCGCCGCCGCCGTCGTCATCGTCGTCGTCGTCGTGGTCGTCGTTGTCTTCGTCGTCGTCGTCGGTGTCGCCGTCGTTGTCGTCGTCGTCATCGCACACGTCTTCGTCCTCGTCGTCGTCCTCGTCTCGTCGTCGTCGCCGTCGTCGTCGTTGTCGTCGTCGTCGTCGACGTCGTTATCCTTGTCGTTGTCGTTTGTCGTCGTAGTTTCCGAGGGCTTGGAAAGGTCTGCCGACGCTTCCAGAGATCTCTTGAGGCCTCCTGAGACCTCTGTAGCCATTCAGAGGCGCCCGTCGTTGTCGTTGTCGTCGTCGTCATCGTCGTCGTGCTCGTTGTCGTCGTCGTCGTCGTCGTCGTCGTCGTCGTCGTCCTTTCCCTCGTCCTCGTCGTCGTCGTTGTTTCCGAGGGCCTCTGGACGCCTCCAAAGGCTTCCGGAAACGTCGTGAGGCCTCTGGCGACCTCCAGGGATTTTCACAGGCGGCCGACGTCGTCGTCATCGTCGTTGTCGTCGTCGTCGTCGTTGTAGGGGTCCTCGTCGTCGTCGTCTTCATTGGGGTCGTCGTCGTCGTCGTCGTCGTCGTATTCGTCGTCGTCGATGTCGTTTGCAGTCGTCGTCGTCGTGGTCGTCGTCCTTGCTCTTGGTCTCGTCCTCGTCGTCGTGGTCGTCGTTGTCGTCGTCGTCGCCGTCGCCGCGATCGTTGTCGTCGTCGTCGCCGTCGCAGTCGCCGCCGTCGTCCCCGTCCCCGTCCTCGTCCTCGCCATCATCGTTGTCGTACTCGTCTTCGTCGTCGCCCTTGCGCTCGTCCTTGTCGTCGTCGTCGGCGTCGTCCTTATTGTTATCGTTGTCGTCAGCGTGGTCGTTGGCTTCGTCGTTGTCGTTATCGCCGTCGTCGTTGTCATTGTCGTCGGCGGCGTCGTCGTCAACGTACCCGTCCTCGTCTTCGTCGACGTTCTCATCGTCATCGTCATCGTCGTCATCGTCGTCGTGGTCGTCGTCGTCGTCGTCGCTGGCGTGGTCGTCGTCGTCGTCCTTGTCGTTGTCGTCGTCGTCGTCTTCGTCGTCGTCGTCGTCGCTGTCGTTGTCGTCGTCGTCGTCATCCACATTGTCATCGTCGTCGTCCTCATTGTCGTCGTCGCCGTCGGTGTCGCCGTCGTCGTCCTCGTCGTCGTCGTCGTTGTCGTGGTCGTCGTCATCATCGTTCCCGTCCTTGTCCTCTTCCTCGTCTTCGTCCTCGTCGAGTCGTCGTCGTCGTCGGCGGCGTCGTCGTCGTTACCATCATCGTCGTGGTCGGCCTCGGCGTCGCCGTCGCCGTCGCCGTCGTCGGGGTCGTCGTCGTGGCGCCGCCGTCATCGTCGGCGTCCTCGTCCCTTCCCTCGTTCTCGTCATTGATCTCGTCTGGGTCCTTCTCTTCCTCGTCGTCGTCGTCGTCGTTGTCGTCGTCCTCGTCGTCGTCGTTGTCATCGTCGATTGCTTCGAAGGGCCTCCAGACGCCTCCAGAGGTCTCCAGAGACCTCCTTAGGCGTCCGTGGATCTCTGGAGACCTTCAGAGGCGGCCGTCGTCTTCGTCGTCGTCGGCGGCGTCGTCGTCGGCGTCGTCGTCGTCGTCGCCGTCGTCGTCCTCGTGGTCGTTATCCTCGTTATTGTCCTCGTCGTCCTCATCGTCGTCGTCCCCGTCCTCGCCCTCGCCCTCGTCGCCTCGTCGCCGTCGTCTTCATCGTTATCGTCGTGGTCGTCGTCGGCGTCGGCGTCGTCGTCGTCGTCGTTGCTGTCGTCGTCTGGCGCCTGGCCCCCCCCCCCCCACCGCGGGGCCTGACCACGTTACCGTAACCCCCCCCACGGGCGCCCGACCCCCTCCCCCCGTAACGGACGTTACGGGGGAGTAGTAACACGACATTCTCTCTGTTCGAGCTAGATGATGTCAGGGGTCGTCGTCGTCGTTTCTTTCTTATTGGTGTCTTTTTTAAAGGTTTTCGTGGCCACGGTCGGGCGCATCTCGGAAAACTGGTCAGGATGGAGCCCAGCAGGGGCCGTCGCCGTCGTCGCTCCCAGACATCTGTCGGCGTGAGAGAATCGTGGCGACATTCCTTGTATAGTCTTCGGCTTTGGGAGCCTTCTGGGCTCGGGAAGTATAACACAAACGGCTCTGGATGAAAAGCTGGCCGCGGGCAAGGGGCAGGATGGATAGCTCCCAGGGGCACATGCCTCGAACAAATCGGGCTACCAAGCGTTTGGATTTCGGAGGTTCTACCGTGTTTCAAGATGTTTTTTTGGCCGCGGTTGGACGCACCTCGGGCAATTGGTCGGGATGGACTCCGGGAGAGCGGGAGAGGCCTGGGGATTTGTTTTTGTGGGTTACGGTCCCTATCCTCCTCTCTTCCGTCCTCCCCTTTCTCCTCCTCCCCCTTACTCTCATCATTCCTCCTCCTCCTCCGCCACAGACCCCCGACGTTGTGGCTTTTTCGTATTAGCGTGGACCCCGTGGAGGTCTCGAACCTTTTCCCGGCACAGGGTTTTAACCCCCAGATTCCTGACGGTCTCAGGTCCCAGACAAACGCCCCTGGAGGCAAACAAGTGTTTCAAGGTCGATCGTCTTCACCGCATTCCCTCAAAAGTCCGACGAAGCGATGACGTGGAACATCGCGAAAAAATCACAATCCCAGCACTAGACCACAGCCTTCCGCGGCGTTTCCCGAAGCAGGCAGATCTATGGTGGTCCCACGGCCCAAACTCCGGCGCAGAAGCCCCGTGAGGCAGAAGTGCAGAGCTCGGACCTGAGGGGCCCTTGCGTTCCCTCCTCGTCGCCAGGGGGAGCTCTCGCCGGCCGCGCGGAAGGCGGTCGAGGTCGCGACGGGGGCCATCAGCAGGGCCGACGCGGCCGCGGGCGGCGTGTCCCGGGCCCTGGCGGCCGCGGCCCGGACCACGAAGGACGCCGTGTCCCCCGCCGCGCGGGCGTCTCAGAGGGCGGCTCGCTCCGCCGCCACGGGCGCCTCCGGCTGCGCCGCGGCCACGGGGCGGCTGGCCATCGGCTCGATGAAGGCAGTGCGCGACGCAGCGCTGGTCGAAGGCTCCGCTGGAGTCTGTCTGTGTGTCTGTCTGTCTGTCTGTCTGTCTGTCTGTCTGTCAGTCTGTCTGTCTGTCTGTCTGTCTGTCTGTCAGTCTATTTGTCTGTCTGTATGTCTCCATATATATATATATTTATGTATGTCTGTCTGTATGTCTACATGTCTACATGTCTGTATGTCTGTATGTATGTGTGTCTGTGTGTCTGTATGTTTGTTTGTATGTCTGTGTGCCTGTATAGGTGTGTATGTATGTAGGTGTGTATGGGCGTATGTCTGTATGCGTGTGTGTATGTGCATATGTATGCATTCGTATGCAATGAACATGTATGTACGTGTATGTATGTGTACGTGTATGTGTGTATATGTATGTCTGTGTGTGTATGTATGTATGTACGTACGTACGTATGCATGTATGTATGTATATATGTATATATGTATGTATGGATGTAGGTATGTATGTATGTACGTACATGTGTACGAATGTTTGGATGCAAGCGTGTATGTGCGTATGTATGTGCATACGTATATGGGACATGCATGTGAATGTATGTACATGGGTATGCATGTATGTGCATGTATGTACATGTGCGTCAATTTAGGTATAGGTTTGTATATGTCGTTGTAGGTATGTGCATGTATGTTTATGTATGTATGTATGTTTACAAGTGTATGGGTATGTGTGTATGTATGTATGTATGTATGCATGTATACGTATGTGAGTAGGTATGTGTATTTGGTTGTGGGTATGTACGTCTGGTTGTCGGTATGCGTGTTTGCCTTTCTATCTGGACGTCGGTGTGTATGAGCATGTGCATGCAATTATGTATGTGTGCATGCACGTATGTGTATATGGATAACTATGTGTATGTGTGCATGTGTGTATGCATATGCGTATGTATGTAAATATATACACCACTATACGTATGCATGTATGGATGCGTGTATGTGTATGCATGCGTGTATGTGTACGCATGCATGTATGCATGTGTGCATACGGGTATACACGTACACATGAATTTCAATGATTCAGCCAATCCCACCACCTTGTTTGGGTTCTGAGTCATTGGCCTCTTGGATTTTGGATGGGATGTCGTTGGGTTGTAAGCCGATTAGGGTTTCGGATAGTCTCCGCTCGTTGGCGGAGCGCCTTCTGCAAATGGGAGCGAACAAGGGAGATTCTTGGCTTGGCGCCACTTAGCCGAGCGCCGCTCCGCGAATGGGAGCGAGGCAATCAGAATTCCTTGGCCCGAGGCAAACCAGCGGAGCTGGGGTCTGCTAATTGGGGCAAGCAAGCTCTAGACGCATAGTTTGAAGCTAGTTAGCGGAGCGGCGCCATGTATCTGAGAGCAATGGGTCTGGGCCTCTTAAGGCCCAAAGGATGGAGAATTGCTGTTCAGAAAATTGAACAGATTGACCTGGGGACACCCAACTTTTTCTACAGGGGCACGGTGGCGGGTGTATATCTAGATATACATCTATCTGCACATATACACATGAATATACATACGGACACACTTACGGACATCCATCCATCCATCCATCAATCCATCCATGCATACGTGCACACACATATATATATACATGAATGTACACATATACATATCTATAATACAATCGTGCATACATGCGTACATGCATACAGACAGGCAGGCATACACACATACATGTGTATACACACATTTGCATCGTTACACCTATACCAAGTGTTCATGCATGTACGCACGCACGTAATAGTGTACGGGTGTACCCATACATTCATGCATGCCTGTGCATGTGTCTTTCTTTATGTATGTATACACGCGCGCATGCCCCTGGCCGCACACGCACGCAAGCAGGGCGTAACGCACAACCCCACACAGGGCCACCGTCAGTCAGGCGCAAACCTCCCCCACGCCTGGTGGACGACCCCCTCCCCGGCAGCCACCCTCGGGTACCCTACGCCTGCCTCGGCGGGTGCAGGCCCCCGTCGTGGGACTGCGGGCTGGCCGGGAGGGGCTTCTGTGAGCAGGGGGCGAGGTCGTTGCGCTTCTCCCCTGGACGAGAGCGGCCGGAGCCGCTCGCCTGCGCCACCGCCGCACCGTCGCTCGTCCTCGCCTCCTTATTCCTTCTCGGATATTCTTACAGGGAAGAGACCCCCCCCCCGTGCATTGATTCGGCCCTGGGTGCCCCGTGACCCCTACGAGCCCTCTGCAACACTTACATACGCTCACGAGCACAATGCGCCGTACGACCCTCTCTGCTCCTCACGACCTCATACACCTTCTAACGCCCACTAGCCCTATCATCCTTATCAGCCCCTGAGCCCTACGACCCTTCCCAACCCTGTCACCCCTACGATTCCAATGAGCCCGACGAGCCCAATGAGCCCTACAGGCCCAGTGGGCCCTATGGGCCCTGGGTTGCTTGTGAGCCTCATCAGGCCTACGAGCCCTATGAGCCTTATCAGCCTCATGGGCCCCACGACCAGAGCGACCCCTAAGTGCCTCAAGTGCCCTTGAGCACCGTCGGCCCCCTGAGCCGTATGACCCCGACGATCTGTTGACCTTTTGCGCCCCCTGGGCGCAATTAAGTCCTGTGCACAAGCCCTATAGCCGACCCGCTCTATGGGGCCCAAGAGCCAGTGGTTTCTGTGAGGCCACAGACCCTACGAGCCTCCACGTCCAATGAGCCCATCAACCCGAGGAACCCTCTGAACTCAAGTACGGCTGTGGGATTTTGGAACTTTCTAATCCCCAGGCGCAGCGCTGCCCGAAGCATCCCTCTTCCACATCGTTCCCCGAGCTGTTGGAAGCCCTTCAGACCTCCGACCCAGAGGAGCTCAATGATCCTATCAGCCCTGTGTGCCCCATGGGCCCCATTGCCGAACACACACACACACATACACAAAAAAACACCACACCACACCACACAACAAAACACAACACAGCACACCATGCCATACCATACCATAACACAACACAACAAAACACAACACAACACAACTCGCAACACACACAACACACACACGCACAATACACACAGCACACGCACACGCACACGCACACGCACACGCACACACACATGCACACGCACACGCACACACACAGACACACACACAGACACACACACACAGACAGACACACACACACATACACACACACACACCGCGGCGCTGGCGACTACCAGTCGCGGCGCGCCTCGTTGCCGCCATGCGACCAACATGTTGAAGGCGAAGCGAAGCGAGCCGGTAAAATCTTGATTTGTTGTTCCAAAAAGACAGTCTAGTCTTCGTGTACACGGGTGGGGCGGGTTGAGGTGGACGGAGAGGAAGATGATGAGTTGATGCACGGATGATGGGAGGGCCAGCGGGCGGCGGGCGGGTCGGGATTTGGGTCGGCTCCTGAAATATTCTATCTTGCAGTGAGAGGTTGTTGAGTATTGGGTGTTGTCTTGGAGACGGGGGTTGTTGAGGGCAAGGTGTTGTCTTGGAGACGGAGGCTGTTGAGTACAGGATGGTGCATGCTACACGGGAGGCGGGCGGGCGGGCGGCCGGGGGCGGGCGGGCGGCGGGCGGGCGGGTGGGCGGGCGGGTCGGGATTTTAATAGGCTCCTTAAGGATTCTCTCTTGCAGCGGGAGCCTGTTGAGTACTGGGTGTTGTTTTGGAGACGGAGGCTGTTGACCACAGGGTGCTGTCTTGGAGGGAGGCTGTTGAGTACAGGGTGGTGCATGCTACACGTAAGGCGAGAGGGCGGGCGGCGGGCGGGCGGGCCGGCCAGCCGGCGGGCGGGCGGGCGGGTTGGTCGGGATTTGAATCGATTCCTTAAGGATTCTCTCTTGCAGCGGGAGCCTGTTGGGTACTGGGTGTTGTCTTGGAGGCGGAGGCTGTCGACTACGGGGTGTTGTTTTGGAGACGGAGGCTGTTGAATACAGGGTGGTGCATGCTACACGGAAGGCGGGCGGTCGGGCGGCAGGCGGCCGGCCGGCCGGCCGGCGGGCGGCAGGCCTGCGGATCGGGACGTGAATCGATTCCTTACGGATTCTCTCTTGCAGCGGGAGCTTGTTGAGTATTGGGTGTTGTCTTGGAGACGGAAGCTGTTGAGTGCAGGGTGTCTTGGAGACGGAGGCTGTCCCTTCAAGATTCATGGAACTTGAAACGAACGGATCTTTCGGGAAAGTGGATATTCAGACCATTGCGTGGGGGGATCTTGACGTGTGTGTGTGTGTGTGTGTGTGTGCCTTTCCTTTTTCGCTGGTGGCACAACGTTGCTCATCGCCTTCGTGGTGCTCTTCTCCCTCGTGGGCGTCGACCTGGTCAAATGGCGCGTCCTCCCCCGCTGCGCTTGAGGTTGGTGTTCGCGACGTGCCGCTGGCGGCTACACCATCTCCATCACCTTCCAGGTCTTCGCCCCCGGTCCTCGTCCGCGGCCTTCTCCTGTGCAAGCTCTTCGGCACCGCCTGCACCCTGGGCTCCACCTGCTCCGGCCGCCTGAGGCCCCGCCTTCCTGTGCCCTGTCTCATTAATTGAAGCTGCGCGTAGCCCGCCTAGCTTTTAGCGGAAGAGGTTCGCTCTCGCCCCGCCGACCAAAAAAGTGTGTGTGCCTTTCCTTCCTCCTTTCCTCCCCCCTCCTTGTGGGCTGCAAGACCCAGTTGCCTTGCCCCTGGGGGTATGCCACGTTGCTTATTTCCCATGTTCTTTACATGTATTCCGTGTGACCATGTGATCACACACACACATCCACGGCCAAGTGGCCTTGGGGGGGATGGCTGCGTCTGACAGATACTCGAGCCACCAGGAACCAGGAACCAAGAGGAGGAGGAGGACGAGGAGGAGGAGGAGGGAGGAGGAAAAAGAGGAGGAGGAGGAGGAAGAGGAGGGGGGGGGCGCTTCCCGGCGCGCAGGAGGCGGGCGCGGCCGCCTAGAGGCGCTGCGCGCTAGGCTGGAGGGGGCTGCCGGCCGCACGGCGGACAGCGTTGCGGAGAGGGGCCAGCCGCTCGCAAGACCCAAACCATTTCGAGCCATGAAAACATCACAAACGTTTTTGTTCGATGTATGTGTGTGTATATATATATATATCAGAGTGAGGGGGCCGAACGGTCATTCATTGTCCCTGCGTGCGTGGCTGAACACGAAATTCGTGGTGAAAGTTCTGCTTGTTGAGTTGTTGCTGTTGTTGCTGTTGCTGTTGCTGTTGCTGTTGATGTTGTTGAGTTCTCATTTCTGAAGAGTAATTATTGTTGATCCCCCCCACCGGCGCATACTGTTTTTTCAATCAAAGTGTGCCCCTCGACGCTGGCACCCTGTCTTTTGACAAGGAAAGTCTTCCTGGTCAAACTGGGCCCCTGGCCCCCGGGTTACAACAACAACGGTTCCCGCCTGAGACTTCCTTACAATTTTGCCAGGACCCCCGCTCCCGCCCGAGACTTCCTCGCATTTTATGCAGGAATCGCGCTCTTGCTTGGGACCTCCTTACAATTTAGTAAAGAATCGCTCTCCCGGCGCTCTGGAGTCGCGCTCTCGCTGGAGACTTGCTTGCAACTTACTGAAGAATGGCCTTGCGTGGGAATTTCCTGCAATTTGCCCAAGCGCCGCGCTCCCGACAGGCACACAGGAGTCGCGCCCGTTGTGGCCCCACGTGCATGCCCTTCGTGGCCCCGCTGTCGCCATTTGTGTCCCCCTCACTGTCCTACGTGGCCCAGTTGCTACCCTCAGTGACCCCATAGTTGCCTTCTGTGGCCCCGCATTATCTGCACTTCGTGGCCCCCGCTCGTTCGCGCTCTTCGTGGCCCCATACGCATTCCATTCGTGTCCCCGCTGTCGCCCTTCGTGGCCTACTTCGTGCCCTTCGTGGCCCTGCTGTCGTTCTCTCTCGCTCTCGCTTTCGCTCGTCGTCGCCGTCGTCGTCGCCGTCGTCTTCGACGTCGTCGTCGTCGTCGTCGTCGTCGTCGTCGTCGTCGTCGTCGTCGTCGTCCGTCGTGTCCCTGTCCGTCCCTCTTGGGGTCGGGTCGACGGTCCGCGGCCGCCCCGCCGATCAGCGCTGCCGCTGGCCAGGCCGACGGTCCGCGGCCGCCCCGCCGCTTGCCGGGGCCCAGCCTGCAGGGAAGAAAGGTATACCCCCCAAAAGGGGTTCGATCGAAGACGAAGAGGGCGGGTATCGAGGGTTTCGGAAATACGCGTTATTGGGCACTCGAGCATATAAGGGCGAACAGTCTTAAAATTATTGTAGTTGTTGTTGTTGTTGGTGGTGGTGGTGGTGGTGTTGTTGTTGTTGTTGCTGCTGCTGCTGCTGTTGTTGTTGTTGTTGTTGTTGTTGTTGTTGTTGTTGTTGTTGTTGTTGTTGTTGTTGCTTGTTGTTGTCGTCGTCCCACCCGCGACCCACCCGCGACCCACCCCGCGACCCTTCCCGCGACCCCCCCGCGACCCACCCCCGCGACCCATCCGCGACCCACCCGCGACCCACCCCGCGACCCACCCGCAACCCACCCCGCGACCCACCTTCAAGGGAGGAAAAACCACCCGGACTCGACAATTGACGTGTACTAAACGGCCCTGGGCGTTCACTAAACAGCCCTGCCCTTTTCGATTCATCCTGTGTGTGGGCGCTTACTGAACGGATTCGCTTGTCGGGGTGATTCTTATGGGGTGGATTTTCTGCCCTCTACACCTGCGACCCAACAGCGACCCACTCGCGACCCATTTGCGACCCACCCGCGACCTAGCCACATTGGTTTAACGAAAAATCGGCGCCTGCGGCGGGCTCGTTGTATAATTAGTGAAACTTTGGCGCCTGCGGCGGGCTTCTGCAGAGTTTCGCAAACTGCCCACGTCCACACCGCCCCCTCACTCTTATCCGCATCTGCGGGGTGCTACGTATATAATCGGCCTCTGGGGGCCCTTTCCAGGCCCTGGGGCCGTCAAGAACCATTCAGGATGACGGGTATCATGATTGCGTTCTTGCCTAACGAGCCAGCGGGAAGGACGAAGGACCCAGGCCTCCGAAGGATTGTCTTTACAATCCCAATGTTTTTCTTTGACTTCGATCTCCAGGGGCGTTTCGCCCCCCATGGTGCCATCAAGAACATGTCCGGGATGAGGAATTCGTCCCGGGGAGGTGGTCGGGCGGTTTGGGGGTGCGGATTGAACAAACCACATCGTCGGATGTTTGGGGTTGGAGAATGTCGCGACCCCGGCTGCGGTTTTCTTGGGCGTGCCGGCGTCTTGGTCTATCAAAGTTCTAGTTTACGGGGCCTCCAGGGTCCCCCGATTGCTGAGTGCGATGCGATAGCAGCAGCTTGCTCGCTTGGGTTAATCCCATCCGCAAGCCCTCCTGAAGCCGTGCACCAAAGGCCACTCTGGCCTGCGCAGGGTCACTCCTTGCGTGTGCCCAGCAGGGTCCAGAGAACGATGCCGATAAGCACCGCTACTCCCCAGACCGCTCCCAAAGGTGTGTGTGTGTGATTGGACAAACATCCCCAGGCGAGCCCAGCCGTGGCGAGAAGGGCCCCACCCCCTCCCCAGGAGGCCCCCCAAAGGGGGGCGAAAACGAGAGAATGGTACCGGCATCGACAGGTATGCTCGCCCCCATCTGGATTTTGGACTACACGAGTTTTGTTCACCAGGCACGTTCCCCTAGTCGCAAAGTGCCTACTCGCAAACGTCCGAGAAAAATGGTTTTCCTCTATGTAATGTATCGTAAATCCCCCGCGGCGGATCCGGCCATTTGCGAGTAGTTACTTTGCGAGTAGTGAAACGCGCTTGTCCATTCGCGGGAGCTCTGACAGTCTTTCCGAACAAACGCAGAACGCGGAAACAGTCTCGAGGGCTCCGCGATCGTGGCAAGAACAGCTCGAAACGAGAGCCAATGAAAGGGGAAGCTCGGAGAGCTTCTGGCGCTAACCAAAGTTGACCCCCCCGAGGAGACGACCGCCCTCGCGACGGGCCTCTTGTCCAGCGCGTCGCAGCCTTATTGGACTAAGGAAGCGGCTGGGCCGGTTTGTTTGTTGTCATTTTTCACAAGACTGCCACTATAATATGAAAGCGGTAATAGCTGCTCCCAGAAACAGGAAACTCAAACGGCGCCGGGATTGGAACCGGAACCGGAGCCGGAGAAACAACGGCGACCGAAGTGGAAGAAAACGGCGCCAAAATTTGCAATCTATCGGTAAAACAGAAACCCAAGACATCCCGCGTCTCGAGCTTTTCGAGACTCGGGCCCCCGACCTCTCGTCCCTTTCCCTGGGACCGTTTTTTCATCCCGAGTCGTATTTTGGCAGTGCCGAGTCCCAGTGAGGGCCTCGAGAGGCCGAAAGGCGATGAACACCCTTCGCCTCGATTTGTTCGAGACGCTGGGTGTCTGGGCTTGAGAGAAACGGCCCTTCCGTTTCCGGGGCCCACTGAGGTCGGAGCTGGCCGCCAGGGGAGCGTGGGCCGCCCGGCTCTCTCTCGCCCGCGCGGCGGCCGGGAAGGGCGCGACCGTGGTCGCGGTGGGCCACTGAGCCGCGGCGGGTTGCGCCCAGGCGCTCGCGGCGGGCGTGGGCCCGTACCACCGGACGGGCGGAGCCTGAGTCAGAGCCCCGAATCATCAGGAGTGACTCGGGTCAGGGCTAACTCGGGTTCGTTTTTCGGGAATCCGAGCCCGAGTTGCCCCAGGCCCGAGCTACCCCGGATAATTCGGGCGTCCAGAGCTTCACATTTTCAGGGGTAATTCGGGTCAGGGGGGGAACCCAAGCCCGAGTTAGCCCGGGCCCGAGTTACCCCAGATATCTCGGGCGCCCAACTGAGGTTCGGGCGCCCCAGACAATCGGTATCATTTGGCCGGCCCCTGCCCCCATCTCCAGCCCCATATCCGGACCCCCACCATCTCAGCACCCCTGGGGACATAATTACCCCTCGAAGTCCTAAGGAGGCGGCCGATATCCCCATCTCGGGGGGGTAAATCGGCCAGCGGGGCCCAGGCCACGCCATGGGGATATTGTCAACCCGCATAGTAAGGATGAGCAACCTTCCAAGGCTACCCTTGCACCCATGCCCCTTCGGCCCATCCTCAGCGACTTTTGCTGACCTCGTTCGAAAAACGTTCACATCGGCCTCCAAGGCCCTTGCTTCCTTACCGCGCATCCTTATTACACGGGTTGGCTGTGGGGGTAAGTTAAAACGATGCTCAGACAAGCTCGCGTCGTGAAACAATCGCGGCGGACGGCTTTCGGCTAGTTTCGGCCTCTGGGGGCCCTGGGGCCGCTCAGGAACGGCTCGGAATGCAGAGCTGTTCCCCGGGAGTGGGTCGAGACATTTGGTCGGGAGCCTTGAGACGGGGGTCAAGGCAAACGGGGGTCAGTCAGAGCGCCAGATCTTGCATGATCTGGTAGAGCCAGGTGTGCATTGATCTGGGCTTGAGCGCAGGATCCTGCAAAGCCTGACTGGCACGGTTCTGGATTGACCCAGGTCAGTCGATCCCCGATTTTGGGGGCCCACGTGCTCAAGACATCAAGACATCGCATGCCTGGGTTCGCAGATTTTCGCACCGGGCGGTCTCGCCTGCTTTCTGGTCCCGGGACCATCACAGATCGATTCGGCTGGACAAGTTGTTCAGAAATATAGGGTCTAAGGTTAAGTCGGGCCTGTCCCTCTACAGGAGGAGTATTCAGAAATAGTGAAAATAGCATGGGGACGATTTGTATATATATATGTTTTGAAAATATGTTTGAATAGTTTTTGGGTATTTTGTATTTATCGTCCGAAAGCCGCCTGTAGTGGGACACGCCAGACCTAAGTCGAAGGCCCCAGTCGTGACTTTTCGTCATGCTGCAATTTATTCGCAGCGTCTCGGATCATCGGGGAGTTGCGGCCGCGTGTCGCACTCCGCCGTGCGGGGGCTGTGCTGTTCCGGCATGGGCAGTTTAAGAAAGCGGGGTCGAGTGCGCTGTCATTCGCGCGTCAGCTGACCGCGGAAGGTCGCGCGTCAGCGCCCTCGTTTCCAATGCGGCATGCCGCGCTGGCGGCCCACGTAAGTCGCGGCGGAAGGTCGTCATGGCTATGTCCTCTCGCTTACACCCTGAGGTCCCACGCTGCGAAACAGCATGGCGAGAAATCACGACCAAAGCACTGGACCCCATCTTTCTGTCCCATTGTCCGAACCGGGTCGATCTGTGATGGTCCCGGGGGCATAAAATGGACGAAAACGCCCGGTGTGAAGAACATGCAACGCCCGGATCTCAGGGAAACCTTTGATTTTTGTCGCTCACCTCCGCGGCACGCCCGAGCCCAGACTTCCAGAGGCTCGGGCATGTCGGGTCTGGTATACTCTTTTGGGCACCCCGGAGGCTGGGCTCGGGCCTTGGGGTGCTGACAGGAGCAACGATACGGGGGGAACGGCACGGGGGGGGGGACGCATCGACCCACAATCGCCCATTGATCGCCGATAGGGGCCTGATAGCCCCACCCCGCCCAGGAACGTGCGGATTCGCCATCGTGGGCGTCCGGCCCCCAGAGGCCGCGCTCGGGCCCCAGCGGTGTTGTCAGAAGGTGGCTCTCGAGACGAGAGGGCGCGCCCGAGGAAGCCGGGCCGAGGGGTCCGGGGCCTCGCGAGGCTCAGGAGACCTCGGGCCGTGGGAGGCCGTGGGAGGGAGGGGCGACGGGGCGGCGGCCCTCTGAGAGGGGCAGCGCGGGGGGGGGGGGGGACTTCCGAGGAGGGGGGGGGAGAGGCAGGGGGGGGGGGCGTCCGAGACGGCCTCTCCCCAGACATCCGGCGCCTCGGTGTCCCGACGTTGTCGGGGCGCGGTTGCCCGACCTCTCTCGCCCGCTTCCCCGGGGCCAGTGCTTCTCCTCCCGTGCTGCCTCTGGAGGGTCCCGAGGCGCGGTCCACAGGGGCCCCGAGAGTAGGAAAGACCTTCGTCTCGATTCTTGTTCGAGGCGCCAGGTGTCTGGGGCGAGTGGGGGAGGCCCAGGGACGGAGGGGGGGGGGGGCTCTGGGAAGACCCCCTTGGGCTTCGAGGAGGCCGCGCCGCCCCCCCGCGCCCCGCCCCTCTCATGGCGAGCGCCTCCCCTCTCATAGCGTCGACCTCACAGGTCTGGTTCTCTCCTCTTCCTCTTCGTCCTCCTCTTCCTCTTCGTCTTCTTCTTATTAGTTATTATTATTGCTCATCCTCCTCGTCCTCCTCCTCCTCCTCCTCCTCCTCCTCCCCCTCCTCCTCCTCCTCCGGCTTCTGCGAGGCTCCGAGATCCACGAGGTCGACTCGGCCGACCCATTCCCCGGGGACCGGCTTTGCATCCCGAGCCGTTCTTCCTGAGGGCCTGGAAGGGCCCCGAGAGACCGAGCATAGCAGAAGACCTCCCGTCGTGATTGCTTCATGACCCGAGGGGGTCTGGGCCGTGAGCCCCGTGCAGGCCCCGCGCGCCGCCGAAGGGCAGACGCATTTCCGATCGCGGGGGAGTGCGCGCTGCGCCCCCCCGCTGGGCGTCCGTCAACTTTTTAGTCACACCGTGCACTCATTCGTGAGTGCCCCGGTGGTGCCATCACTCGATGATCCTTAGGACGTGTGTTAGCCCAATGCGTGCGTGTGTGTGTGCGTGTGTGTGTGTGTGCGTGTTTGTGTGTGCGTGTGCCTTTATCCCGCGCGTCTCCACCGACAGCAAGTGTGCCGGGCCTCGTCGCACCGCCTGCGTTGTAGGAGAAGCTTCGGTGGGCAGGCACACGCTGGCGCTGACACACTTTCTGAGGATCCTCGAATCTCTTCCGCGGGGAGGCGTCTTTGTAAATATCAGCGCCGGGTATTACGCCGCGTGCGCCGCACGATCGCTGGGAGCGCGCCGACTTTGACTAGCGCGCCCTGCTTGCTGCGGTGCAGGCCAGGCAGCCTCGAGAGACCTCGCGGGGTGTTCCCTCCAACAAAAAGGCCTCGCCCGCGAGGGATCGAGGAGCTGTCGGCGGCGAGCCCAGGTGGGAAGTGAGGAGGGGCGGGCCTACTGATCAGGCTCGGAGGGCCTCGGGCCTTCGGAGAAGTGTTCTGAGTCTTCCCCGGCGGCACAAAACTTGTCAGAAGGCGCGAGGGCTTCTGTGAAGCCCCGCCGCCTTCCGAGAAGGCCTTTTCGGCTGCAGCTCATGGGTGGTCAAATTCTGAATTTGCCCCGGTCCGAAATCCGGCTTACTCCGGTTGAATCCCGCCCAATCCGGTTTAATCCCGTTGAATCCGCGGCCAAATCCGGCGTAACAGCCCCCCAAGGGGGCTTAACCGGACGTGGCTAGGACGAGGATAAGTCCGTTCCAGAGCGTTCCGGACCGCTCTCAGAGCCTTCCGGAACGCTCTGAGAAGGCCGCGGCGCCCGAGACATCCTCCAGGGCCGCCCGATCTCAGAGATCTTCGATTCGTCCGCACCCGAATTGATCCTCGTCCTGTGTTTGTCTTTTCCTCCTGAATCCTTCCGACGAAGACCTCCCAGTAGTTGCCTCTTCCAGTCAATCCGCACAGGAAGGATGAGCAACCTTCCCAAGGGTACCCTTGCATCCTTGCCCCTCGGCCCATCCTTGGCGACTTGCACTGGCCAACCTCGCTCGAAAAAAGCGTTCGCATGAGCCTCCGAGGCCCTTGCATCCTTACCGCGCATCCTTCTGCTACAGTGGGCGGCTTGAATTAGGAACACTTACTTTTCAAAAGGAGCTCGGTCGTTCCTTAGGCTTGCATGCGTCACGTATGTTTCCTTATGCGTCATTATTATTATTATTATTATTATTATTATTAGTATTAGTATTATTATTCTTATTAATATTATTACCATTATTTTTTATTATTATTACTATCATTATTATTATTATCATTATTATTATTATTATTATTATTATTGTTATTGTTGTTGTTGTGGTTGTTGTTGGTGTTGTTGTTGTTATTATTATTATCATCATCATTATTATTATTATTCTTATATATATCGCTCCTTATGCGTTACTCCTTGGAAGAAGGGGCTTCGTTCCTTATTTATCTTTCCATAGGTCAGGCCGATGACTGTACGGGTTGACCGCAAGGCCCTCTCCCCCTCCCCCGCCGTGGCGCGCCGTCGAGAGGAGCTGGCCTCGGCTCCTCGGCGGAGGGGCGGCCCCGAGCACGGAGCGAGGGCGGCACCGCGGGCGGCGGGCGGTGGGGCAGGCAGGGTGCGGCGGAAGCAATCGAGGCCTACAGGCCGGCACCAAGATTCATGTCGGCGGTGTGCATCCGCCGAGGGATGGAGGTTTTTTTTTTCCGAAAGGCTTAGGCGACCCGTCCTTCGCCTCCTCCTCCTCCTCCTCCTCCTCCTCCTCATCATCATCATCATCTCCTCCTCCTCCTCCTCCTTCTCCTCCTCCTCCTCCTCCTCCTCCTCCTGGTCTCCTCCTTATCTCCTCCATCTCCTCCTCCTCCTCCTCCCCCCCTCCTCCATCTCCTCCACCTTCTCCTCCACCTTCTCCTCCACCTTCTCCTCCTCCTCCTCCTCCTCCTCCTCCTCCTCCTCTTCCTCCTCCTCCTCCTCCTCCCCTTCCTCCTCCCCCTCCTCGGGTCGCCTACGGCCCCAGGGGAAACCGTGCAGCCGAGGGACGTCTAGCCCGATCTTGGTGATGGTGGGCGTTGGTTAAGGAACGTGCCCAGGAGGCTTCAGACCCTCGAGGGTTCCTTATCTGACGAAGGCGGCGGTGAGAACCATGGCCAATCCACGATTGGCTTTCCACTGGCTTCCAGACCCTGGATTCCTTGCCCAATGCTTCCTTATCCAATGCCACCACCGTGCTGTTCTCCTGCCGCCGCCCTTTTCCGCCGAGGGCGAGACGCGCCGCAGGCGAGGCCCCTCCGTGGGGAAACAGCAGGAGCCGATGCCGCTGTGAGACGAAGCCAGGGCGAGGACAACATCAGGTGAGGATAAGTCGAGAGCCTCTGAGATCCCGCGGCTCTGGAGGATGTCTCGGGCGCCGCGGCCTTCTCAGAGAACTCCGGAAGGCTCTGAGAGCGTTCCGGAATGCTCTGGAACGGGCTTATCCTCGTCCTAGCCCCGTTCGACGCTACTCCCTGGACCCCCTCCCTGGGTGCGTTCCGACCAGGGCCGAAGTCCAGCCGTGGCGACGAGGGGCTTCCCGGGAGACGCAAAAGAATGCCAAAACGAAGGAGGGGCAGCAGTGTTGGTACATACTCCTCCTCTGACTCCTCGAGGGCCCGCCCGGCCCGCTCCAGAAACGCGGCACTGAACATCAAAATTGCATTTCTCGAGCATTTTCTGTGGGTGGGGGGCAAAGGGTGAAATCTGAAATGCCGTTTCGATGGATTTTCAAGGCCTGAGTCTGCAAAAGGTGAATCACAAGACGGCTTGATTCCCGAGGTGCAAAAGCCCATCTGGATTTCACCCTGAGCCTTGGAACCAGGCTCCCTGAGCCCACATGGAGTTTACACTGAGCCCTCCAACCCCTGAAACATGTTCAATTTCTCGGAGGGCAGCGTTTGCTCTGTAAGGTTTGGAACTGGGCACCGACACCAAAACAGGGGGGTGAAACCACCGAGGGAGGATGATCCTGGATTTTGGTGGTGGTGGTGGTGGAAATCTTTCGGCGGCGCGCCCGCGTGGGCGCGGCGGAGGGGGGCGGAATATTTGAGGCGTCAGCAGGAGGGGGAGGAGGAGGAGGAGGAGGAGGAGGAGGAGGAGGAGGAGGAGGAGGAGGAGGAGGAGGAGGAGGAGGAGGAGAAGGAAGAAGACGACGCGGTGGAGCAGGAGGGGGAGGAGGAGGAAGAGCTTGCGGAGGAGGATGGGGAGGGGAAGTTGGGGCAGGTGGAGGTCGAGAAGGGCAGTAAGCATGTGGAGGACGATGAAAACGAGGCGGTGGAACAGGAGGAGGAGGAGGAGGAGGGTGAGGAGCAGGGGCAGGAGGGGATGCTTGTCGGGGTCGCTTTGGAGCGCTTCCGGGAGCCTCTGGTGGGCAGTTTGGAGGCGTGTTGGGAGACTCTTGGACGGGCTCTTGGGGGCCTTGGTGGGGCCTCCAGGGGCTTCCTGGGGGTTTCTTGAGGGCGTCTTGGCAGCCGTTCGGGGCCTCCTGAGAGCTTTTCGGGGGCGAGGGCTCGAGAAGTCCGTTCGGGTCTCCCGTCTGGGCACCCTCTTGGAGCCGTCGTGGGTGCCTCTTGGCCTATCTTGGAGGCCGCCCCACCGCAGTTCTCCGCGGCCGTCTTGGGGCGATCTTGGTTGCCTCTTGGGCCGTCTTGGAGCGTCGGGAAGCGGAAGAGGCGAGAACTCCAAAATTGTTCTAGAGCTTGTAGAGCTTAATTCAGGGAAGTTGATGAATTCTGCCTCTTGGGGCCTGTTTGGGAGTGCTCTTGGAGGCCTTTTGGAGCGTTGGAGCGTCTTGCAGGGGCCATCGGCCGTCTGGAGGCCGCCAACGCATCTTGGACAGATCCTTCGGCGATTCTGGGCCTTCTTGGACCGTCTTGGGGGCCTCTTGGAGCACTCTTGGCCCGTCCTTGGGCTTTTTGGGGGCCCGGGACCCCCCAGGGAGGAGTCGTAGCAGGGTGGCGACCCCCCCTGGACCCCGCAAAGGACCCTCCTCCCCCCCGAGGGGGGGGATCAAAGGGAAGGGACAAGCCCCTCGCACATGCCGACAGGGTTGTCAGATTTTCTCACGGCGCCTGCATATGAGGCCCCCCGTTTTCTTGTGGGGTTTCGGGCGGTGCGTCGGGCCTCCTGCGGCTGGTCGGGACGACTCCGGGATCACGTTCTGGGAAATTATCAAGGCCCCGAAATCTTCAATGCCTCTGCAGAAAACTCCGATAACCTTGTCCTTCCTTCTCCTCCTCCTCCTCCTCCTCAACCTTCTCCTGCTGCTGCTCCACTTCACTTCCATTCACAGTCGGCCTTCCGATCTTTCCTGGAATACGTTCCAGCCAGGATGTCGAGGTGGACCCAGCCGTAGCGACGAGGGTCCCCCAGAGGCCCCCCACAAGCGGACATCGTTTCAATCCATCCGAATCCTCCTCCTCTTCCTTGTTGCTCATCGTTGTCGTTGTCCTCGTCGTCGTCGTCGTCTTCGTCGCCAGCGTCCTTCTCCACTGTGCAGCACTATACGCAAGTCATTTGTTTGTGCACCTCGGGCCATTGGACTCGAAGTCGAGCGAGCTCTTCGACGACTGCGACGAAGGCGACCGACGCCGACGACGCCGCTGCCGACTCCGACGACGACTCCGATGCTGCCGACGCCGACGACGTCCACCACGAAGACGCCGACGCATACGACGACGCCACGGAGGCCTCCGGAGACCAGAACAACTTCCACAACCTTCCTATCACCTCGAGGTTCGGTGCCTGGTCCTCGACACGACGGCGCCGCCGTCTTGGCCGCTGTCCACCCCGCCGACGCCGATGACCACCGATGACGACGAAGACGCCGACACTGACTCCGACACTCACCACTACGATGGCGCTACAGAGGCCTCTAGAGATTAGAACAATTCTCAAAACTTCAGAAACCTTGGTCTTCAGACTTCGGTCTTCGCCGACGACGACGATTCAAACTTCGACCCCGGCCACGACCGCCACGAGAATCACGGGGACGAAGGCGCCGAGGCAGACGGCGACGCTCACCACGACGTCTACGACACGGAGGCCTCTTGAGTCCAGAAATGCCCCAAGGCCAGCGGATTGGGCTCTCGATTCTCGACGACGACCACAGTAGGCATGCCAAGTAAGGAACCAGCCTGCCAGCAGGTGCCCCACAGAGGCTTCCTATTCTCCAACGACCCCAGGGTACCCAGCAGAGCTCATGGGCTTCCCGCGAAGCCCAAGATCGACCGAACGATGTGCCCCTGCACCTCTTGCAGCAAGACTTCCTGACGTGTGTGTCCACTGAGCGTTCGGTGGTCTCCAGAATCCCCTGCAGCCTTTCGCGGAGGCCCC